TATATATATTAGTTTTTTTTTCTTATTTTACATATTGATCCCAGTTCCCTCTCCCTCTCTCATTGTTTCCTTCCCTCCTCCATCCCTCCCTCTCTTCTTCCCTCCTTCCTTCCCTCTCTCCCTCCCTCCCATACACCTAGTTTGCTAATGTTTTACTGAGGATTTGGCACCTGTCTTTGTGAGTGTCTATTGTTTTCAGCCTTCGTTCATTTTTGACTTTGGGTAATGATGGCTTAATAAAGTAAGTGGCTTCAGTGCTCTGAAAGAGCTTGCAGAGAATGGACATACTTCTTCCTAAAGGATTTATGAAATCCACCATGAATCAAACACATCTTCATGATTAGGTTAAGAGGCTTATTATCAGGTTTAGATGTGTCAACAGCCTTCATCTTCATGAGTTCGGGACAGTCTATTCTTCTGGGGACTAGTTCATTCACATTAGCAATAAACCATGAGCACACACTGTCCATTGTGTCCCTTTTTTTCTCCACATCCATGGCTCTCTAGCTGGGCTAGGGAGATGAAACCATAGTGAAGAACACTTAGCTTTCTTGCAGAGCACCCTGGTTGGTTCCCACCTGTAATTTCAGCCCCAGTGAACCCAACCCTTTTTTCTGAACTCCAAGTGGGGATGGAATGCACATGATGCACATAAACACAAGTAGGGAGGCATACATACATATTTAAGAGTAAATCTTACGAAATAATAAATTGCACTTTTTTTCTTCACCTGGCCAGAGCTTGACCATTTCTACAGACCTGAGGCCTCTTTCATGAAGACATTGATCTTCATCTTGGAGTCTTCAGCTTTACAAGCTAACCACCACAAACTGCCCCAGCTCTTAGCATTACCACTCTATGGGATAGGTTGTAATATATGAATTCCTAAAAAGGACATAAACATTTAGTCCATTGTGCCGGCACAGGACACCATCTTAGTTACCTGCAGTCATAGAGTCTACATACCAAACAAATAGCTCTTTTTTCACACATCTAGAAGTCTACAGTCAAGGGACCCTTTCAAATCCTGAGAGAACCAGGCATGCCTTGGCTCTTAATGATATTAGCACAGGCTATGCCTTTTCAGCTCTGTCTCTGCCCAAATGCCTCTCTTATTAAGAACACAGGAGGTCACTTCCTCTAAACTAGCATTGTCTTCAATGACTGTACTTGAAGTACTTGAGGTTAGAGTTTCAAAATGTCATTCTGAGGGGGCATGAGATCAAACTCACAAGAAGAATGCAGCATTCTGGTGGTAGCCTTTCCATTTGCGGTAGATTTGTAATTACCTAAAATTGGGAAGTCACCAAAAAGTTTAATCACAAAGAAAGTAGTGGCATTTTATCATTACAATCCCATTACATGACTTTTTATTAAGCTTTCACTATTAATGTGACAAAGAATTATTACTAAGTAGAACCATGTACAAACACAGTTGTTGAGATTAAATTGTTACATAGCACAAGCCAATAAAATGTTTATTGGTCCATATGTCATCTGGCATGAATGAAAAAGAATCTCATTTAGAGGAAATGATGTATGTGAGGAGTCCCAACACTAATATATCAAGAACAAAATTTAGAGCAAATTGGAAATTAAATGGCTTTCCGGTTTCAATAAACAGAGTAAATGATCTCAAGGCCTGCAGTAGGATCTGCCAAGCATCCAGTTGCACACTTGACTTGAAGGGTCCCTGTTGGTTTATACACATAAAATGTATCACCTTCACTTCCCTAATTATAAAAATCAACCAAGATGTCATTGATTTATTTTTCTGAAAGTAAAGTCAAGATTTGTCTTGCAGTTTATGTTGTACAAATAAACATTTTTGTTGATCTAGGGGTTTGGCTCACTGGTGGGTTTCTAATTTTGTAGGTGGGATGGCTTGAGCTGGATGTCCATGCTGTGAAGAATGGGTATTTTACAGCTTTTGATGGTTAACTTCAGGAAGTTTCAGTGACCTATCAAGAGCCACACCTTAAGGAAAATTGAGGTTTCCTCCTCAAGAAGTTATCCAGTATCAATAACTCCAATGGATGGGGTGTGTGGACCCTTCCATGTTGGGATGCTAACTGGCTTGATCCTGCAGAGAAAACAGGGTTGTTGTGAGCTCTGCTGCAGCACCTCTGTCATGCCCTGCAGATGCTGTTTTGCCCTAGTCTTCCCCTCCTCTGGCTCCTTCAATCCTTCTGACTCCTCTCCCTCAGTGGTCGCTGAGCACTAGAGGCAGGTGTGATATATTTGTCTTGTCTCTGGCTGAACCTCCATGGTCATTTATTCTCTGCACTTGTTTCACTATTCGCGGCACAAAAAAACCTTCTCTGGTGAGGACTGAGAGCTACACTAATCCCAACTCAAGACTGCTCTGCCTCTGGCTCCAGAGCAGCCTCTGGAGCTGCCTGGAGACCCCACGTTTTTAAAGTAAAAGATAACGTTCGCTTGTGTTAAAACATACTTAGCATTTATGGAATGTATAGAAACTCTTAAGACTATTCTTGATTATATCAAAAAGTAAAGACAGCCTTCAATATTCTTTGCTTTCTATATGAAAAACAAATTTAGTTTAAAATCTTCAACTCCTCATTTCTTTTTCCTTGTAATAAAATAATTGCTCATGTAATCAAATGTGTACTCTGATACGCTACAAAATTAGTGTTGTGTTTGATGTTGCCTTCTTGGTTCCACACACGAAGGCTTGGGATGAGTATGCAGGAAAACCATGTAACAAACACATCTATACTGCTTATGTTTGTAAACATAGCTGAATGCTGGATCCACCTCTGAGAAGTAAAACTTGAAATGTGAAACAGAACATTGTAAACTATATCAAGTGTATACATTGGAAGATTATACATACATGTATATATATACATATATATATACACATATATATGTATAATCATATTTTAAATGTAAAACATTAAGAATGCTATTTTCATGAACTGACTTCCTTATTTATTTTCACGTCATAAAACTAAGCTGATTTGCTATTCCTGAGTATCTCGAACATTTGTTAATACAAGAAGCACAATACTTATAAAGAAAGCTGTGTATTACTGGAGGATTTCCCATTGCATGTACTACAGGTTAGACCTTACAATGGCGACAGGAATTTCTTCTGGCATTTTCATGAAATTTTTCAATTTTGCAGCTAATTGGTGCTTTTGTTCTGATGGAACCCACTTAAAGTATACATTTACTCATGGGTTGTTTGGGTGGATAAAAAAAAAAAAAGGTAATCCATGACTATTCATCTCACTAGTACTGTTCACATTAACTTTAGAGTGCAGTAGAACCAGGAAACTTGTCATGAAATCAGCTTCTTCAGGGAGGAGAGGGTGCCTCTGTCCAGGACCCAGTGGAACAGGCCAGTCTGACTCTGGACTGTCCCAGGCATTTGAGGAACGACAGCAGCAGACCTACCTGCCTATGTCAATGAAAGAAATTGGATCTTTCAAGGCATTTATAATTTGAGGCGGGAGAGGAGACAAAGGCAGACATATGTGGTGGCTGGCCCTATGTCAACTTGACACCAGCTAGAGTCACAAGAAAGGACCCTCAGCTGAGAAGATTCTTCCACAAGATTGGGCTGTAGGCAAGCCTATAAGACATTTTCTTAATTAGCAATTGGTAGAGGAGGACCTAGGTCACTGTGGGCGGTGCCACCCCGGGATGTTGGTCCTAAATTCCATTAGAAAGCAGGCTGAGCAAGCCATGGGGAGCAACTCTGAAAGAACACCCCTCCATGGCCTCAGCATCAGATCCTGCTGTCAGGTTCCCACCTTATTTGAGTTCCTGTCCTGACTTCCATGATGAACAGTGATGTGGAAGTGTAAGCCAAATAAACCCTCTCCTCTCCAACGTGCCTCTCTCTGATTGTGGTATTTCATAAACAATAACAGCCCTAACTAAGACACTGGCCATGCAAGATAGTTCATCCTGAAACCTAGAACAGTCTTTCACATATCAACCTAGTAAACAGAGAGAAATGAATATATGAGAAAGTAAACATCCCAAACTTTGCCTTAGCTTCTTTTCCTGTTGCTGTGATTAAAAGACCTAAACAAAAGCAACCAAAGGGAGCAAGGATTTATTCTAGTTCCCAGCTCTGTGTAACAGGCCACCATGGTTCATCCTTGGTCATTCTATCTTCGCTGTTTCTTCAGCATCTACCTGAGAACCAGAATGCCTACCAACTAGGAATGTTGAATATAAATAGCTATTAACTATTGAAAAAGAATAAGCTACTATCTTTAGCAAGAAAACACTGACCAGGACAGAAATAGATGCAAACAACAGGTCCTCCTGGGGAAGAGGGACAGAAGCTCAAGCCATGGCACTGGAAGAATGCTAGCAGCTATGGCTGCTAAACACTTGGGTCTCACTGGTGAATACAGAGCAGTAGAGACTGTTTTGGTGACCAGTTTTCAAGCCTTCCACTCTGGATAAACATTAGGGGACAAGTGCACACAGAGAAGCTCCAAGAGATAGAACAGTGAATTTCAAGAAGCCAACCCTTGACAGTCACAGATTGTACTTCTTGTTAGGAAACAGTTTCTTGCAAAATCAAAGCCAAGCAGCAGCTGTCAGCACAGACACTAAGTCATCATAATATGAGGACAGTGCCCAGGTGCATTCCCATGGAGGACAAACACTAATGAAATAGATTTAGGAATGATAAGGCCAAGCTTGTCTTCCTCACCGAGACCTCGTGAATAGACTTCTCTGTGGCTTGAACAAGCACAGCAACTACCAACAGAGAGCAGGACTCTGCAGCCACTCACTGAGTAAATTTGGGTTCAAGGAGGAACTCAGGAGAGATAACAGTGCCAGTGCAGGGTCTATAATGTCACAAGACTCAGGGGGACATTTTGCAACCTGGGGTCTCCACAAATTGTTTAATGTATTTGTCTAGAAAAAAAAAAAGAAAGTATTATGTGTTCCTCCATAGTCCCTCGGCCATGTTCATTATAGTTTTTTGTTTGTTTGTTTTCTTACAGGCTGGAGCCAACGTCCTTCTGCAAGATGTGAATGGAAATATCCCATTAGATTATGCTGTAGAAGGGACAGAATCTAGCGCTATCCTGCTGGCCTACTTGGATGAAAACGGTAGCACAAAGCTTCCTTTAAAAGACTCTGCAGAAAGAAATTCATTAGTAGAACTGAAAACATGGATCATTCTTAGAAAGATGCATACAGTATTTCAGACTCAGTATCTCCCTTGAGGGTGGAACATAAGGCAGTTTTCTGCCTTTGTTTATCGCTTGCCACCTTTGCGAACTGGAGGGGGACAGTGAAGAAGCACCAAACAGATGCCTGGGGTCCATAATTGCTGGGACTGGGTTTGCAATTATCAACTCTCTTCCCTGGGGACAGGAAGGGAAGTCAACCATACAATTGAATTCTGAACTAATGAGATCAAGGTCACCTTGAGTGTGTCCTCCAGGGCCAGGTGATCCCTACAGGAATTGTAAGCCAGCTCAGTGAAGACAGGGGCAGCATGTTCACATCCCAGAATTCACAGTGGCACTTAGAAGCAAAAAGCACTGTGAGAAGAAAGCCTAGGATCAAAGAGAAGGCTGGCCCGACAAAATGGGGCTGAGCCCCTGTGTATCTCTCACAAGGACATTAATGACACAGCCCCAGCATGAACCAGTGAGTCAACTCAGTGAGAGCTGAGTGGGAGCCACTGCTGCATCTGGCGATAAGGCTTGGTAGGGAAAATCCTGACCCCACCCCCTTCCTTGGAGATTGAATATCAAAACCAGGCATTGTAGCCCCTTCGATGACTTGCAGGCCAGAGACAATGTTCTGTCATATCTATCAGGAACCTCTGGAAGCCGAGGGTGTTCCTTTTCTTCTTTGGAGAAGTGCTTACCTCAATGCCATCATGTTTTGCCTCCTCCAGCTCATTTGTCTCAAAAGGTTTATTTTGAGGATGCATAGAATAATAATTACTGCTTAGCAGCCTTGATTTCTTAATGAGAACTAGTCTCATTAATTTAGAAAGCAAGGTGGGCGTGATTGCCCCTGAGCTGAAGGCCAACAAGACAAGGGTAGAGCAGAAGCAGGCTTGGGGGAGGCATACAGCATCTTTAAAGGGCCGATCAGAACCCATGGGGCACAGTATTCAGTGGCCTCTCCCTCCAGACCCACAAGACCCTCATGCAAGAGAACTCCCCCACTGGCTTCAGGTCCCATAGGCTGTGACCCTCTGAAGAAAAGTTCACTCATTCTACCAGGAGCAAAAGTCCAGGTGATTTGGGTTTCCCGGTGGGCAGTTCAGGACTCACACCATTGACATGCTTCCCAGGCAGGACAGAGTTCTGGGTTTGTATGAGAAATGGGAGAGGAGGGGCTGAGGTTAGCATATTTGTACTACTGAAAAGTGGTCCAAGATCTCTTTATGTAGACCTGTTCTCATCACCAATACAGTAACGGTGACTGCAGTAACTCGGCTGCACTGGTTCCCCAGACATGGGTGTGTGCCACACAAAAGTGTGGTTTAACCACTCTCCTAAAAATGGCTGCATAAACAAGACAAGAAAATATCAATATCAATAGGAGTGTGACATGTAAGAGTCACAGAACCCCACCCCTAAGCAAAGACCTACAGGCAATGAATGTCTGCTGGGGAAGAAAGTTTACCTCGCCCAGGAAGAAGCCTCCATTGCTGGCTGTTCAACATGAGGGGTCAGCCTTAAAACTGTACACACATAAACAAAAGCATACTTAGCAGGGTGTGTGTGTGTCTATGTACGTATACATACATAGAATATGTAACAATCATAATCAAATAGAGGCTATCAGCTTGTGAATGGGAGGCATGAAAGGGATTTAAATGAGAAGAACTGGAAGGAGGAAGGGAAGGAGGAGAGTTTTTAAATTTCAGTATGTACCAGCGCTGAGTCACAGTAGGCACATGAAGGGCACATGTTGCTCATACAGGGGACCTGAACTGATTCCCAGCACACATATTGGCTCACAACCAATTGTCAAACTAGTTCCAAGGGATCTGATGCCCTTTTCTGGCTTCTGTGGGCAACTGCATACATGTGGTGCATATGCGCCCATGCAGGCAAATGCTGATCACCCACACACAAGTAAATCACAGGCTGGGGGTGTGGCTCAATTAGAATACCAGATTCAGTGCCCAGCATCAGATAAGCCAAGTGTGTTGGAGCATACCTGTAATCTGTCTATCGCTTGTAGGCGGTGACAGGAGTTCAGGGGCATTGGGTCACCTTTAGACACATAAAACCCTTTCTCTAAAAATAAGTAAATAATAAATAAATACATAAAATTAATGAATAAGAAAATACAAAAGAATTAAGTCAAATAAAACTCTAAAAGCTGGAAGAGCTGAACTGTCTCACTCAGCCAGGGAACCCTTACTAATGATTGTCTTTCCTTCAGTGCCTCCACCAGCAAATGTGTTAGCATTGCTAACAAGCTTCCAACCCACCAAGGCATTTTATTTAATAGAAAAGCTTGGTTTTATGCAAAATCAATATTTTATGTCCTATAAAAAAAAATAAGCAACTCTTTTTTTTTTTGTGGGAGGTAGATGAAAATATTGGAAAGGAAACCAGAGATGGTCCCTGATTCTGCTACAGAGAAAAGCTGTCACCACTATGGCTGTCATGATCAGTTTGTAAAATGCAGGTTTGCTGGAACAAACTCAATTTAATATCTCTTCAATTTTTAATTCTGTTTTCCACATGTCACTGCTGCTGCTGTGGCCTGGTCCCTTCTGTGTGTGCCCCCCTTCCCCCTCCTGCACAGCGGCTGCAGCCCCTGTCAGAACCTCTCCTGCTTATCGGTGTCACTTCCCCTGTCCCTGGCAAATACTATCTAACTCCATTTATTCCTGGCCCCCCTTTTGGTGCACTGTGAGAGTTATCTGCTCTGACAGCATGGACCGATGCCATCAGAAATTTCTAATAGTCCAGGATGACAGTTTTGCTATTACTTGCCTCTTGTCACCACACTCTTCTTTGCAGGTGCTTGCAATCCTGGGGAGCTCCTGGCTCTGCAAAATCCTGTTTCCAATCCCATACTTATCATGCTGTCAAATCAGGGCGCAGGGGGCAGAGGAGGCAGGAGACGCCGTGAACAAGTTGATTACATAGAAAGTCTCTGTTACGAATTCTAATTGTGCCGTCACCACCGACTTACACTGTAAACCTGGCAATGGCAATTAACCTCAGCTCAGTGCCTTAGGTTCCGGGGCTGTGAAATGAGACCAGCACTGGGGCTGATTGAGCATTTGATGAATACCTCATCTTTGCACAAGGCAAAAACAGCTGGGCATGCAAGGAAAGCAATCAATTCTAAAATGAACCTCTGGAGGAAGGAAGAGCCCAGGGGACAGAGTGCAAGGTGGCCAGGACAGAAAATAGGCATGAAAAACACCTGCATCCTCTGTGTGTGTGAGCCTATGTGCACACACACATGTGCATTGCATGCATGCAAAGTGCAATATCTATTTATCTACCTATTTATTCAGCTACCCATATGTGTATCCATACTTGCAAGTATATATGTATGTATGTATGTATGTATGTATGTATATATGTATATATGTATATATGTATCTATCCATCCGCCTACCTATCCATCTTCCTATCTAAGCATTCATTCATCCAGCCACCTATGTATACATACATACATACATACATACATACATACATGGATCTATCAACTATCTATCCATCCTCAACATCTATCTTTTTTTCTGCATACTTCACCTGTTTCCCTTCTCTTTCCATACTTTCAGGAGCTAGTTCCTTGTCTGCCCTGTCCTTCGGTTGCCCAATGCTCAACTTCCTACCCACTGAGAATCCCTCTGTAGTAGTTGCCCCTGGCTTCCTGAACTGAATTTCCAGAATTCTTTTCTTTGTTCTTTGAACTCATCTTTCTGTGACTTTGCATGATGTAGGCACATGGCAAAGTCTCCCCTGAAGTGGTCTTTCCATCTTTCCTTTCTCCTCTTGAAGCTCCTTCCTGTGACAGTCTGTGGGGCCACACTTATATTCCCAGTTCCTCACATCTTAACTGTTTCTGGGCTTTGTCCTTGAGAAGGTCCTTCCTGGATGGGGCAACATGGGTGTTGGTGAGCTTACCCTTTGCTTGCTTTGCCTGCTCCCAAGATCACTGCTGTGACTAAAATGGCCTCTGAAACCTTCACCCCATGTTAGTTACTTGTGCATCTTGAGTTGGATGTCAGAGGGTATGAAATATCTTGTCCCATGTGAGAGATATTATTCAATCTCACTCTGTAGTCATTATTTACAGTTACAAAGAGAACACATGCATCTGAGTCTTATTTTATTCTTGCCAGCCCTTCTTGTCTAGTTGTCACAAAGTCTTATGGCAAAGCATTTGGAGAAGTATAGAGGACACATAGTGCAAAGTCCTCTTAAGCTCAGGAACACTTACATGGACAATTCAGCTGCATCACACACTGTGACACCAGCCTCATACAGAGGAGGTTGAGTTTCCACCAAAATTGCAGATCTTCTGGAAAGGCAGTTGGGCAAAGTTAGACAGATAAAAGACTGACTTAAAGTAGTAACACAATTCCAGTTACTCATACTATTCATAATCAGCCAAGATCACTGAGCAATAACCTCGGTGTCATATAACTTGTGAGTTTTGGGTAATGGATTTTCCTTGATTCTTAAATTTAAAAAAAAAATACCAGATTCCTTCCAAATAATAAATATAAAGAATCGTTAGGCTTATTTTCTTCTAGAAAACACTATGAACATAAAACTTGATTTTTTTTTAAATAATAAAGAAGGGACAGTGGAAGTTGAGCCCACTCTCCAGCCCTGACTAGGGTGGTGGGAAGGAGCTCTTTCATCTTGGATGGTATATTCAGAAGCAGTTAAAGACACTTTGTTGGCACAAAGAGATAGAATTCCTGTTGTATTTGGCTTAGCACAAAGAGCCTTCCTCTTAAAATTATAACAAAGATCTAAAAAAATCACACTTTGGTTGGCACCAGATTTTATTCAAAATTGAGTTAAAATCAATATAATGTCAAAATATTCCCCTGTGGTTTCTTGGTAACAGGGACAAGAAATAGGCTGTTTGAGTGTAGACAGCCTTCAATAAGAAGCAGCATACGTCTGTGTTTTAACCTGTCTTTCATCTTTGCTGTATTCTAGATTTATGATTTGGTTTTAATTAGATGTTGAAGGATGTTTCCTGGAAATGCCCACTTCAGCAAGCACAACAGCATTGTGGAATTTCACCAAGTAGGGGCTCCTTAGAGTTTTCCTGTTGCTTCCTCTGCAAATCCCAGTGCTGATATCCATGGAACATTTTCAAAAATGAAATTATGTGACAAATTCCACAGTCCTACAAATGAAAGTGGAGAGACAGTTTTAGTTGTTTCTCATAGGCCTCACAGCCCCTGTGAGACAAAAAGATGCCTGCTGGTTCTTCCAGCAAGATGTATGGCTGTGTGGTGATCAGAAGGTGAGGCACAACCAGCGTTCCTCAGATCTGGATTTCTGTTGACACAGCTCTATGTTTCACCAGAGCTAGCTAGCAAACAGAGCTCACTTCTGTGAGTTCTTATTAAAAAGCAAGGGTTATTCTGTGTGAGCCATGTGTTAATTCGGCATAGAAATTGATAAAATAACATCCCTCAACCCATTCTTTCAAATTCAGATGTCAAGGCAGAGGACAAGTTAACCTGCCTACGTTGGCACAAAGAGACATCTACATGGACAGATGCAGCATTTCAGTTTAGAGGCACTCCTTTGGGGAACAGATATGGGGAGCCCACTGAGGAAAGAGGAAGTATAAATGGCCACATACTTATAGATAATGTACTTGCCATGGCCTCTGCACCAAGACATGACTTAAAACTGTGACCTAACCTTGGAATTTGTTGTTATCCATGCGACCGAGGATGCTGAAGCTAAAACAACTTTCTCAAAAGTTGGCCTGAGAAATTAAACCTCATACTGTGCATTTCAGGATTCTTACTGTAAAAACAGTGCTTGGATCCACCGTAGGGTGCTTTCCTTGGATGTTTGTAGAAAGGACTCAATGAGACATAGACAATGTTTATGACAATAGCTAGTTCACAGATGGCACTTATAAGTAGGAAGTATCTCACTGTCATCATCACCACTCCATCAATATTACCATCACCACCATCACTACCATCAAAATCGCTATTGTCAACAGCACCATCATACTCATCATTGCCACCGTTCTCCCCACCATCATTGTTTTCTTCACCTCTGCTTGGAAAGAGCCTTTCCTCTTTGGAATCTTATTGTTCAAATGGCTGAGGGTTATGGAGCCCAGATAACTTTCTCAGAATTGAACTAGAAAGTGAATACACCTCACACTGACCTATCAGAAGCATCAATCACCCCAGGAAAGGTCTGTGTCTATGAAGAAATGGTAGGAACAAGAAGTACATAAATGAGAAGATGGGTTGCTAGGAAATCTCAGGAAATAAATGCTGAGAAAACTTGTGAGCTGAAGTAAGGGACCTATGTCTGATGCGTGAGCCAACACTATCAGTCAAGGATGCTGGTGTTGCACTCTGTGTCTATCCTGGTATGAATTTCCCTGCCCTGTTCAGCTGAAGCAGCCTCTTAAACTTTTATACTGAAATAACTTTACATATACAGAAAAGTGTCAGGGTCCAATGTGGTCTGAAGCACACCCCTAATGCCAACACCAGTGCAATTTGTCATATTTGTCAGAACTCCTAAGTTCACATACATAAGGTATTGCTCTGAGTTTTAGATTTTCTTCACGGGCTGCTGATTTCTCAGAAGTAACTTTGCTTGTCCAGGATACTTCACTGTATTTATGAGCAAGTATTTCTGTGAAAAACTCTAAGCAAACAAAACCAATAACCTTGCATCTTTTTTTCAATCTGATTGACTTAAGTGTTTGAAGATACTTTTGACTAGTGTGTGTGGTCAATTTATACCAGTATATTAATTATATTAGTTTAGTAACTTAGATATTTCTGAACAGCCTACTATGTGCAAACATCCTATCATATTAGAGGAAATGGCCAGTCCAAACTAAACTTTTTGCCAGGCAGGCTATAATTATGTAATTCTTACAATAGGACGCAATCAATGAGAAACAAGTCTTGGGTATAGAAGGAGAGTTGAAAGGGGAAGAGGGCCTCTGAAAGAAGTATGTTAAAAGACTACCTTGTCCTGAATCCCAACCTCTGCTTTGGAACTAATGGGTCTTCTTTTCCCAGGGGTGGACCTCAACTCGCTACGTCAGATAAAGCTCCAACGACCCATGAGCATGCTAACAGATATCAGGCACTTCTTATCTTCAGGAGGAGATGTCAATGAGAAAAATGATGATGGAGTGACACTGGTAAGTGTGTACATATGTCTAGAAATCATTTACATAGTTGAAGTTGATTATAAAACATGTAATTGGATACAGTTTACTGTTCAAAAGGGTGTTTTAATCATAAAATAATACACATATGCTCTTTGAAGATATCTTGGAAAGCAGAACTAAATAGAAAAGAAAATACAGAGTATTTATACCATGGCCCAGAGAGACCCTATGCATACTAGTTGATATATTTTCTTCAACCATCTCTACATATGACACTCTTACAGGTTTAAAATACAGTTTATGTGTTGTTTTTGTCAATGTGACTTTTGAGGTGGAACTTAAAAGAAAAAGACTTTCAATTTAGCTCTAAATGAAACAAACTGTGGGTTACCTTTCTAATTAATTCACTTTATAAGTTCAAGCAAACTCTTGTTATATTTCACTGGCATCAGAAACAGCGCAATAACTTAACAGTAAATGATCATGGGGTTGAGAGGTGGCTCAGCATAGAGGGGTACTTGCTACTCTTGAGAAAACTAAGATTCAGTTTCCAGCACCTACTTGCTAGCCATTAAAGTATCATTTTGTTTTATTGATGGAGGAGACTTTAGAAGAAATCTCAAGTTCTCTGTTCGCCCTATCCATGTGATGGAGTAGGCATCTGACAAATAGAAATGGCAGCCACCTAAAAGGGGTTGTTGGAACAAGGAAGGTGAGATTGGTTGAGGGTGGAGTGGGTCTCTTGGCCATCACCTAGGAAGCATTAGCTAGTTTGAATATTTGAATCTGGAATCCTAAATCAGAAAAGGAATTTTCGGGGCACAGTAGCAATGTTGACAATAGTGAAGTCATCAGTTTCACCCACAAGGAGAGAGGGTCTAAGATAGGGGGATAGAGATGAGGGACATCCGAGTCTGGGGAGGAGACCAGACTGCAGCTGGAGGAGATCCAGGAAGAGAAAACAAGGTGGCAGCTGAGGGCTGGCTGTGAGGTGAACCCTGGGCTTATCCACCTTGGATGTGGTCTTCTAAAGGACAGTTGGTGGGCCAAAGGCGAGTGGGGTAGGATGGTCAATTAATGATTCACATATTGCACTGAGTAGACAAATCTCCATATGATGGAAGTGCAGTACAGCCTGGTTTACAATGCCCTAGGCAATATTGCAACTCTGCTTTTGAGAAATCACTGTACAGGCACCTGCCCCAATGCCAGTTAAGACCCAGATTGCAATCTGTGGAAAGAATGCATACAAATCCATGTACAGCAATCATTTTAATCCCTTCAGTTTTGCTGTGCTTTGTGATTTTGCTTCTTATTGAACAGAAAGCACAAAAGGTATAAATGGTTTTCTGTAATGACTGAATCTCCTGGATGCCATCTGTGAGCTTTGAACAAGACAGCAGCAATGGACAAAAGTCCAGGAAGCTGTCAAGGAAATCATGGCAGTTAATCGGGGTCTGTCTGAGGCAATTCTGGAGTCTGAGTGGGATCTGTTTGTTGATGCTTGCCTTTGCTGGGAGGTTTTCATCTATGAGGTGTGTGGTGCTTTTCTGCCTATTGTTAGACATTGTGATAAGAAAACACCTTTGTCTACAGATCAATTTCTTATACTGGGTTGGAATGTCATTTGTGGCTAAAAATGAGGCATAATTCCTCACAGTTACATGTCTGTGTGCAGTCAATCAAACTTTTGACAAACCATTCAGTTGCAATAATCTGCTAGCACAGTGAGTGGCTTTTGTCTGCCTTTGCCTCCTTTATTAAAATATCCAAGAGAATAGTCACATGTGGGCCTTTAAAATGATCTGTTAATTTAGATAAATATTCATGAAAATTAGATAATACTTCAGAAATTAATGTTAGTTTCTAAAGAAATGTTTATTTTTTATGTGTATGTGTGAGGTATTTGTGTGCACTGTGTGCATGCAGTGCCTGCGGAGTCCAGAGGAGGGCACCAGATCCCCTGGATCTGAAGTTACAGATAGATGGGAACAGTGTGGATGCTGGAAATCAAACCCAAGCCCGCTGCAGGAACAGTAAACACTCTTATTTGCTGATCACCTCTCCAGGCCTCACACGTTTGTAAACACTGTGTTCCATAGAATATGAAAAGCAAGTTTTCAGTTCGAGTGCATACATTTTCCTTGAAAAATATCACTATAATCACTAGCCCTATATTTCAAAGACATAAGTTCCTTCTCTATTTTTTGTTGTTGTTTGCTTTTCTGACTGTTACTTGTAGTACAGGTTTATATTTTTAAGTGAAAATAGATTTTTTCCATACAATATATTATGATTGTGGTTCTCCTCCCCCAGGCCCCCCAGATTCTCCCCTAGTTTACCACCCACTCAAATCCACACCCTTTCTCTCTCTCAGAATATAAAGAGTCATCTAAAGTGACAGTAATAATAATAATAGTAATTATTCTTATTTTTATTAATATAAAATAAAAACAAACCAGGGTAAGGTAAAGCTAACAAACAGTTTTTAAAAGCCAGAGAAAAAGCACTGTATTTTAGGCAGAGGATTGACATCACATCTGGCTACTGAGATAGGCCTAGTTCCTTGATTGGGTGGTAAATATCCAGAGAGGCAAATGTCATGTACTGTTACTTTGTCTCCCTTTTTGTGTTGGTGAAGAGGTGAAGGGTCAACACTAGTCTCCCCTTTGTTTATTTACTTTTGAGATGTGGTCCTCTCACTGAGCCTGCAGCTCACTGATTTGACTGGGCTGGCTATGTCCTCAGCAGCATGATGTAGGGGCGTTCCTCCACAGCTGGCTTTTTATGTGGGTTCTGGGGTTTGAACTCAGATCCTCATACTCATATGACAAGCACTTTATCAGCTAAGCCATCTTCCCAGCTCTTCCTTCACTGCCACCATTTTATTTCAACAGCACTGGGCTATCTTTTTTTTCTTGACAGCCTTGTCTACTCTATGCAACACGGTGTTCACACACAGCCTCAATTTAAGGTTAGAATGCCTGGTCCTGCAAAGTAACAAAAACACCTATCTCAAGCCAGCACTTATGGATCATCTCTTCCATAATTACATTTGACTACCATCTGGAGTCACCCATGGGCCCCTTCTGAGGATCATATTTTAAATGTAATGGAAACAGCATGCACAATCACAAAGAAAACCAGTCATGGGAACTTTGTAGAGACTCAGCTGGCCTGCACAAAGCTCAGGTTCCACAGCCAGCACTGCATAAGCTGGACACCCAGAGAGTGCTGGAAAAAAGAGCAAAGAGGTTCAGATTCCTTGACTACACAGCAAGTTCAAGGGCAGCCTGGGGTGAATGAAACTTGTTCTAATAAAACAACAACAAACAAGTCCATGTTGATGGAGAAATATTCTGAAATTGATGCATATGCTCTTCTGTGTTCTCTATCCCTGCACCTCTTTCTCTCCTCTCCCTCCCTCTCTTCTCCCTTCCTCCTTCCCTCTTTCTTTCTGTCTCTCTCACACACACACATGCATATCTTGTTATGAGCAGTTTTCCCGCTAGTCTGATCCCAGAGCTGGGCAAGCCCTAAATAACACACAGAGATGCTGTATTTAGTTATAAATCTGTTGGCCAGTTACTAGGGTTTCTTACTGGCTAGCTCTGTCTTAAATATTAACCCATTTCTATCAATCTAAGTGTTTCCATATGGGCTTATCTTACAGGAGAGAGGGTCCAGACTTTCTTCTCTCAAGTCTCTTCATTGTGACTCTCCTCCTACATCTCCCAGAGTCCTCCTTGTCTCCTAGTCCCACCTATCTTGCTTTCTTATTGGCCAACAGGACTTTATTCACTATCCAATAAGAGAAACATCTCCTATCATCTCCTCTTTTCTGTCTAAATTAAAAGAAGAGTTTTAACTTTAACATAGTAAAATGTATAGCAAAACAGTTTACAAATAAGAACTATAGTTAACAATATTTAGTTCATTAACATTAAGCAAGATTTAAAGAAAATATTCTGTCATCTATCCTCATCCATCCTATCTTTGTGAGTCTAATGTCTTATATGTAACTTATCTTTAATCATAACTAAGGAAAACTATAACCATAACTATCTGTCTTCAACTCCATCAAAGACCACAGAAGGATAATATATACACTCTAGAAATCACAGAGACAACTCACCTGGTCAGTCACCCAAAGTTCTGTAATGTTCTATCTTTAGCCTATAGGCCATAGTGTGTTTGGCAGATTCCTTAGAAAGCAGGAAACTGTAAGCTGTTCACCTGTATAGGCAGTTTCTCAGTCACTTTTCTCTGTGTCCTGCAGGCTGTCTGTCAGATCCTTCCATGAAGGAGGAACCCTGTAGCAATGTCCATCTTGTTTCAGTAATCACTTTTCTGTGGGTCCTGCATGTCCAGGACCAGTCAAACAGTCTAGACCAGAGCAGTATCTTGCCCAAATGACTAGTCTTGCCATATTGGAAGTAAACTCCATAACAAGATTCTTCCATGTCCAACTTCTTTTCTGTCACAGGTGCTATTGCCAGGAGATGTTGTGTCTCACTGTCAAGAAAAACCCTAAACCATTTTAAATGCCATATTCTGTAGGTCTTCAAAAGGTTTGAACAATACCTATCCATTTGAAATATATCTCTGTATATCTAGAAAACCTAACTAACTTATCTATATGTTTATCATAGGTAACAATCTACAATCTGTACTTAATTCTACATTACACTTTAAGTGAGCTATATAAACACAATACCTAAACAAGAGGAGAAATATATTTATCATAAAATTGACCTTTAATTTGTATCAATAAATGAAAATCCATTCCAAAACAAAATATTCATTTCAGTACCATAATCCCCTTTTTACCTTTAAAAAGAGATTGGTTGTGGTCATTAACCATTTATAACCAACTACATTTAAATGAAAACAAACACTTACAAACAATATTTAAGAACGTGGGCATCATTCTTTCCAAACTACTTCTTGTTGGTAGCAGGTGCTGTCTTGGAGATCCTAAGAAGATGCAGAAATCCTGGCTGTAGTGGTCTGCAAGGCTGCCTTGTCCCAGTTGTTTTGAATGTTTGGATCACTTGAGACACTGCTTCAGGGGATCTTGCTTGATTAAACCATGTTAGTCTGAAAGGAATCCACAGCTTTTCATTTTTTGTGGAAACAAAAATAGAAATAAATTCTTTTATCCAGTAACCTGTCCTTAGACTTAAATTTGGAAGTCAAAGCATTCTTTAAATATATAAGTTGGATTAATTTAACAGCATTGATAATCAAGTGTATTTTAGCAGTTGTTGGTCCTGCCTTAGCAATTGAGTGATTCAAAGACAACATAATAGCATACAGTATCCAGACTCTGTGTGTATTTCCCATCTTTAGGTAGCTTTTGTATTACTTTACTTATTTTACTTCTATTTTTTCACATTTTAAGACAAGGTTTCTCTATATAACTTTGGGTGCCCTGGAATTCACTCTGTACACCAGGCTGGCCTTGAAATCACAGAGATCTTCTGGCTGCCTCTGGGTGCTAGAGTTAAAGGCATGAGCCACTACACCCAGCTATTCTCTTCCTTCCTTCCTTCCCTCCTTCCTTCCTTCCTTCCTTCCTTCCTTTCTTTCTTCCTTTTTTTCTTCCTTTCCTTCTTCCTTCCTCTATTTCTTTCCTTCCTTCTTCCTTTCTTTCCTCCTTCCTTCCTTCCTTTCTTTCTTTTAAACTACTTTATTCTATTTGTTTTTCTGTCCCAAGCCTACATATATTTTTAAGCACACTGTAAACTTTTAGAGGGTTTTCTTAATCTGAATCTGTCTTTACTGTAAATCTTTATTTTTTTTTCTGGCCACAGGTCCTTAATCTGCTAAACAACAGCATTGCTAAAATTAAAGCAGTAGCTGTTTTAGCTGCTGGCTTTACAATATGGCAGTTACATTTATGGCCAGCACTGAGAGCTGTGATCACTGCCTTGGGCTGTGCTGTTTGTGCTACTGTCCAGCAGAATGCTGCTAGCTTGGAGATGTGGAGCAGACTGCCAGCTGCTCATACACACCATTGAATTTTTAGCAGGATTTGCTGCTTATGCTGAGTCAAGAAATCTCCCTTGAAGGACCTGCACAAATCTCTGTTTGTCTCTAGCAAAACAGAGCCAAGAAAAATGCTGCTATCAAGAAGCATTCTTTTATATCTAAAATCCCTTTTTAAGCTTTTGCCAAGTTTTAAGTGGAAGTTCTTAGTACCCACATTGTAGATGCCATTTTGTCACAAGCAGTTTTTCTGCCAGCCTGGTCCCAGAGCTGCATCAGCTCCAAATAACACACAGAGATTATTAGGTATTAGATATATTATTAGATATAAAGCTATTGGCTAGCATTTCTTATTGGCTAGCTCTGTCTTAAATATTAACCCATTTCTAACAATCTATGTATTTCTACATGGTCTTATCCTACCAGAGAGAGGGTCTGGACCTTCTTCTCTCAAGTCTCTACATCTTGACTCTCATTCTACATCTCCCAGAATCTTCCTTGTCTCCTAGTCCAACCTATCTTGCTTTCTTATTGGCCAACAGGGTTATATTAATTAACCAATAAGAGAGAGTTCTGGAAAAAAGAGCAAGAGGTTCAAATTCCTTGACTACACAGCAAGTTCAAGGGCAGCCTGGGGTGAATGAAACTTGATCTAATAAAACAACAACAAACAAGCCCATGTTGATGGAGAAATATTCTGTGTTCTCTCTCCTTGTCCTCCCCCCGTCTCTCTCTCTCTCTCTCTCTCTCTCTCTCTCTCTCTCTCTCTCTCTCTCACACACACACACACACACACACACACATCTTGGTCAATGAGAAAATGGAAACCTTTGTTCATTTCACCTTTTAGATGTAGAAGAATTGAGAGTCCCAATAGAACACCCTATACTGAAGCCACAGGCTACTAAACAAATGAATCAATTTCTCAAGGACTGATCTTTCACTGATTGTTAGCATCAGCCTTGTGTGGCATGCTCATTTAAAGTGGCAGGGGTGACAAATCTTAAAGAAGACCAACTCAGTGAAAAAGAAGGCTTCAAGTTATACACAGATGTGATGTGAGGCACAAGCAGCTAATATCATGGTGTCTGGAGAGTGATCCCTATTTTCAGACAAGCAGAGAGGCAGCAACAGACCCTCTGGTACCCAGATGGGACTGTGGATTAGCTATTGTATTAGAAATTAAATCTCCAGAGATAGTATCACTTCTAGTGTTTCCTTTAATTTTGCTGTAGGTTGAACTACTAGGAAAGACCCCATGGCTGGAAAGGATAGTATTCCAGAACAGTCTGCATGACCTTGATGACAGGACTTGTAGATACTGTTGTGCATTACTCTGAATATCCACACGACTTTCTTAAAGTTCCACTCTGTATCACCCAGAGAGAGTCTTAGCCAGAGGCCTACAGTCTACCTTGTAACTAAATTGTTTTCACTATAATTAGGTGGCACCAGAAATGAATTTGCCTGCCCCAACACTTTATCTATCATCCCTGAAAAGGCTGTTTTAACCCTGGGTTCTGGTCTTCTAGCTCTTTCCATGACTGGGACCAAAACCTATTAGAGCTATATGCTTAGGCTGTTTCTGCTGTACCCCATCTATGTGCCTCTGGGCTTCTGGTTACTTCCAATTCAAAGAGATGCTGAAGTGGCGGTATATACAAGTGGTTAGCTTGTCCTAAAATGATATAAGCCAGCTCAAAGGACTCTTGAACCAGTTTATCATAATCATATGGCATATCTCACTGCTAACTTATAGTTGGGACAGACAATTAGCCTGAGACAGACAACAGAAATTCACCAATACCTCAGGAATTCCCAGAATTCCTGCTGCATATTTCCTGTTTCTGTGTTGGCTTTTGAGTCACCCCGTTCAGCACCAAGGACAGTTCTTGAGTCTAGGAACTGGTCAGCAAATCTTTGACAGGTGGGCAGGAGTCATTAACCATGGGGTTGGTGGGTGTGCACTTTTAGCAGCTCTGTTGACTGTGGAAGGAGCTCAGGGAGAAGTGGGGATTACCTGAGAAAGTATACACTGTCCGCCAGAAAAGAAATAGTGAAAAACTATGATTTATTGACAATTCATAGTATTTCTTTCAAAATGTGCTAATGATGACTTTTGCAAGCCAGTACAATTATATACCTGTGTTTATTTAATTTTTATACTGTCATGTTTCAGATACAACAGTTAATTAAATAGCTCTGCCTACATTATTGAACAAATGGTGTTGGTGAGACTACTTTTTTTTTTTTTTTACAAAGGTAGAGTAACAAAAATGTCTATGTTTCAGCTACACATGGCGTGCGCAAGTGGCTACAAGGAGGTGGTGGTACTTATCTTGGAGCATGGTGGGGACCTCAATCAGGTGGATGATGGGTACTGGACACCTCTGCATTTGGCAGCCAAGTATGGCCAGGTAATGTGGCTTTCCACATCCTTTCTGAAATATTATTAACAATTAAAAACAAACTTCATATTTAACTTTTATTTGATTCCAATTTATATGCTAATCATTATATAATTTGACTCCTAATGGTATCATCCTACTGTACACATAATTTAATAAGGAAAAATATTTGCTTTCCCAAGGGCACATGAAACTTCACCCTCCTTTGAGCTTGCGCATCACAGTTAAACTGGCTGGAGAAACACTCAAGAGTAGGGTTAATGCTGTTTTCATACTACAATGCTGGAGAGCCAATTATGCAAGTCTCTTAGTGTTCAGTTTGTGTTTTACAGTTAGTGAATCTAAAGTCAAATTACATTTTTATGTCCCGTTTTACTCTGAAAATTATACTTCATCTTAACAAATAGATGATGTTGAAATAACTACATTTGTGCTGCTGTGGCCATTACACAAGAGAAGCACCTCAGGTGATGAAAAATTTGTTTTGGCTCAGACTTCCAGAGGGGTCAGGTTGTAGTTACTTGGATCTACACACTTAGGTGGAGTGTAGTGCCAGCAGGGACATCTTCGCTGCATGTGGTTTATCCACCTGTTCCAACTCCACAAGTGAATTGAAGAACTACTGGGAAATGCTACTCTCTGACTTAAAATAAATCCAGACAAAAAGAACAGGAAAATGGATAAGACAAAATGTTTACCTTCTCATGTTTTTACCTGATTGTGACTTTTCAACAGAAAACTAGATTTCCAGATTTGCCTCCTTCCAGAATAGGCCCTAGAACACATTGTTTGCAGTTAATTTATCATCACTGCCCCAGGAAGGGCTGACCCTTAGTTTTTAAGGAAGCACACCATCCTGGAAGAGAGCTAGCTGCTCTCTTTAGGAATAACAACACTTCTCACACAGTGTGACCCAGCTTGCTACTGTACTAGGCATGCAGTTTTGAGTGTCAGTGGTAACCTGAGACCCTGACCTGCCACCTCATGGTCTAGTGAGAATCTCAGGTGCTAGAGCCCAAGTCAACAGTCAACAACAGTAGGTGGCAGCTCTACCCACCTACTCCATTTACTCATACACACACTTCCTTGCTGGGACTGTGCGTGAAGAGCATGTCAACTGTGCTTTTGAATGAATGGAGTTTTTTCTACAGTAAGTGCTGAGAAGGAAAACAATGTTCTTGTTTAAACCACCTTTCTGTAAAAGTGTGTTTCCTTGACTGCTGGGAGTGCAAATGCTTTCAAGCATTTAGGCAACTGCATTGCACAATTGCTGGTTGGTTTCTAAGACATTCTGGGTGTGATCTTACTTCAAAGCATTTTAAAGTCAGCAGTTCAGCTTAAATCTCTTTGTACAGAAAACTTGCTTCTTCATGTTTTTGCTAGTAAGACTCTAACAAAACAGCAGTTGCATTCTGGAGCCACATGTTCTTTGTGATTTTACCTATGTATAAAGTGTATTTTGATCACATTCATCCATCCTTCTTTTTTCTTCTCCTCATTTCTAATTTTGTTAGGGTTGCTCAATATAAATTAATGTATGATAATCCATTGCTTACAGAAGAATGGGTGGGGTTTATTTACTGGAACTCAAGAACTTATCACTGAATACACCACTGATGAAAATGCCCCTCTCCTACACTCTGGCAACTAACTTCCTCGTGGAGGAGAAGGTTTCTAATATAAGTGAAAGGTTGTTACCATTCCTGTCATGTACTCATGTAAATCACTTGGGAGCTACATTTTATGCTCCCTCGTGAGTTAACTGAGCACATGGAGAATTTAAATTATAAACAGCGATTAAAGACCTCTTGATTTAGGCAGGAACCAACTGAGAATTCATTCACTGCCTGTTACTATAGGTTGACTATGAAATGTACCCCACAAGATATGTGTTGAGGGTGGTGGCATTAATGGGAGGTCCTGGAATGTTTAGAATATGATTTCTAGCTGGAGGAAATGGGTCACTAGATGTTGAGGAGGAGGAGAAGAGAGTACTCCTTTTCAACATTTAATGTAGAAGTGTCTTTCCTGTGTCCTGACTGCCATTTGATCCCAGTAGAAATCATGAGTCCAAGGAATCCTCCCTTCTCTAGGTTTTCTTTGTGTGGATACAGGTTATAGTGACACAAAGGTAACTAATGCAGGCAGTTGGTGCCAGGAGTGGGGTGATCTCTGTGGTCATATCTGAAGGTGTGGCCTTCAAGCCCTTGGGACTGAGTTGTGGGAGAAGTCTGAAGAAATTAGTGTGAGATTCTAGTGGGTGGTCAGAGGACCAGAGACAAGTGTGGACAGTATAAACTATGACCATCTATGCCTGAGCCTAGGAATGTTAAGTAAGGGTGAAGTCAGTGCTTAATTATGCTTTAATTAACTTAGGAAAAAGCAGACATGTTATAGTCTTTCAATGTGGTTTCACATAACCAGAAAAATAAAAGAATCTTAGTAAACCCCAACAACTTGGATGATTCTAACACATACAGAGAAGTCATAAAGTAAGGGTAGAAACAGGCACAGCAGGATTTAATTTCCCAGGTCACACTCAGAATGTGCAATGTGGTGCCTAGGAAGGCTTCTGACTACACTTGCACATAAAAAAGGGTAGTGACAATGAGATTTAATTCCATGATGGTGATCAGTTCTGGGAAACTGGGGTCAGGTTAGAGACATGCACAAGGATACACTAATGGCTTTCTTTTAGAAGCTGACTGGGCCAGCTAGGTGGCTCAGTGGGTAAGGTGATCTCCATGCAGGCCTGATGACCTGAATTTGATTCCTAGAACTCATTCACATGAAAGGATAGAACTCACTCCCAAATGTTGTTCTCTGACCTCCACACTCACATACACACCACACACACACACACACACACACACACACACACACACACACACACACACACACAATAATAATAATAATAATAATAATAATAATAATAATGTGGAAAACAACAGCTTTTGTTTAATGAATGTCTTTCTGTGTTATGTATGTCCACAGATGCTTTTCACACATTTTATATAGTTTCTCTGCATTTACTAGGACTTGAACCCATCTCAACTATACTAGACAAGTGCCCTAGCACTGGGCTATGCTCCTGCCTCTGACTCTCCTGTCTTATGGGTGTGAGTGTGTTTCCTTGTCTGTGCAAAATGACTATTGGCTTTTAATGCCATGTGCAGCATGGTGACAGATGTGTGGTGACAACAAGCCAAGACTTGGCCTAATGGCTGAAGTGAATAAGAAACAAAAGCAAAAAAAAAAAAAAAAAAAAAAAAAAAAAAATGACGTCTCCACAGAACATCAAAAAATGTATAATAATAATAATAATAATAATAATAATAATAATAATAATAATAATAATGCCCTTTTCATACCCTCAGAAGTTAAGCCCCACTTGCTAAATATTTTTCCTAATATATAAGTTTAGTAGTTTGATTGTATGGTGTATTCAGAGAAGAATGTGGGAATAGTAAAAATGCCAAGAAGAATTCTATCCTCAGTCTCCAGCCATGCCAGATGCCTTGCAAGAACAGCAGATATGTGCACCCACAGTACACTCAGAGATTCCTGATGAGTTGGTGCCCTGAATACTCACTGATGGTTCTCATTACCTTGGGTACTCAATGGTAGTCTTCAGTGCTCTGAGTACTCACTGATGGTCCTCGGTGCTCTGAATACTCACTGGTGGTCCTCATTACCCTGGGTACTCACTGATGGTCCTCAGTGTCCTGGGTACTCACTGATGGTCCTCCGTGCCCTTGGTACTCACTGGTTGTCCTCATTACCCTGGGTACTCAATGATATGTCTTTATTACCCTGGGTACTCACTGATGTGTTGTAGATATTTGCAAATGATCCTCAGTACCTGGGATATTTAGTGATGCTTTTCAGCCCTGAGTATTTGCTGATGGGTCCTAGGCAACCTTGGTATTTGGGGATGTGTTCTCAGTATCCTGTGTACTTACTGATGGGTCCTTCATGGCAGTTCTGATAGAAGCTGTCTTTATGCTGCAGACAACCCTGGTGAAACTCCTTCTGTCACATCAGGCAAACCCCCACCTTGTGAACTGCAATGGGGAGAAGCCATCAGGTAGGTTGAAGCATGTTGGGAGCCTCTTCTTTCGACATGGACACTATTCACCCATCACTGGTACAGTAAGAAATGTGAGTGGACATCTGAACACCCACAGCTCCAGCAGGGTTTGCCTCATCTGTGTTTGTGGAAGGGTGATAGCAGTAGGTAGACCCATCACCTTCCTTTCACATAGCTTTTACCCATTGAACCACACACACAGATCACCCCATGCCATTCCAAATCCTATTTTTAAACTTGTTACTTTATGCTACCTATTCACTTATTATAATACTTATAGTCATAATTTTCTGTGTGAATATTTAGATTTAAAGAAACAGAAGTCAATAGACTGGTGCTCACTTGGATGCCCAAACTCTTGACTTGTTATTTCAGAAGTATAAGTACTTCTGAAGATATCGATAAGCTTTTCTGTCACTAAAATGTTCCTACATCTATTGCTGTCTGTTGATTGACTTGGTGTGTTGACTGTTATATCCTCAGTTCACCCACATCTACATTACTTAGGGGGAACGTGGCCCTGTCTGACATCCCTACTGTGGTTAGATGCCATTGCCTGGGTCCGATGTCCTCTCTGTCTTGTAGATGTCACTGCCCATGTCTGACATCCTCACTGTGCCTTGTAGATGTTACTGTCTATGTCTGATGTCCTCTCTGTCTTGTAGATGTCACTGCTCATATCTGACATCATCTCTATCTTGTAGATGTCACTGCCTGTGCCTGACATCCTCACTGTGTCTTACAGATGTAGCTGCCTCTGAGTTTATCGAGGAAATGCTTCTGAAAGCTGAGATTGCCTGGGAAGAAAAGATGAAAGAATCAACATCTGTCTCCAGCTTAGTACAGGAAGAGCTGTATGATGAGATCCTTCATGACCTCCCACATCTTTCCAGTAAGCTGTAAGTACTTTCATCCCATTGGGTTGCAGTAGCTAGACAATGCTCTGTAGGCTTGTCTCCTCTCTCCTCTCTTCTCTCCTTTCTACTCACCCACCATTATATAGACAAAAGTGTCTGTTTTTCAACCCAAAGTGTCATAAGTATTGTAGCTGTTTGTCAGCACATTTACCATAAAAGTCAATTGCCGACGATGAGTTCAGCATTAACTAAGGAAATTAATGTGGCCTCAGAAGGTATCACTACAAGATCAGGCTGTTACTTTCCCATGGTTCTGACAGCAAAGATGATATACTAAACATTCTTCTAGATTTAAGCTAAACTTAATGTAAGCTTTTCAGTGATTATCATAATAGTGGACTGTCCTGGAGTAGTAAATGCAAATGTACCTCATTTTTCTCCTAAACATAAATTTAATAATTGTACATTATCCACCCCCCAAAAAAAGGGTGAAAATTGTCATTGCATTCAAGTTTTGAAAAATTAATGGGAGGCTAATAAGAGGCAGTTCACTCTAACTAGTCTATTGGGGGTTAAGTGTCCTTTGGACTCATAATATGGTCACTATTTTCACTTTGAACACTTTGGTTCTCAATGACTTAATGTATCATACAAACTCATATGAAGCTCCCCAGATAGGAAAACCAGAAATCACACTAACAGTTACTGTGGCTGCAGAGAGAGGCCAATGGGAATGGACTTCTCGTAGATAAAGGGCTTCTTGAGAGGGTGAAAGTGTAGTTAAAAATGGGGATGGCTGTGACAGTATCTGATCCCCTGTATCTTAGCATTGTGTTATGCCTTTCCAAATATATAGACAGCAAAACATAAACAAGATTGGGGCATCAACAGTCCAGCATGCATTGAGAAAGGGATCCTGGGATCCTAACCAAACCTAAACAATCAACAACTCATGGGATTTAGAGAAGGAAAAGCACCAAAGAGTGGCTCACCCAGGCTTCTATGGAGCTGTCCAGACCATGGCCATACAGCAGTGAGTCACACAGCAAGAAGACATGAGTGTGGAAAGGGGTTCTTCAAGGAAGACAGGATATGACAAGGGTAGAGGAGAATAGAAGGTGTGAGGGGGAGAGTAGCAGAATTCTCTGAGTACATGTATGAAAGAAAGTGTCTATGAACAAAATTAGTCAATAGAAAAGAAATTTTCAAAAGGATAAACAAGATTATCTAGTGGAGACGAACACACACCTTTGCCCTGTCTATAGTTTGGTTTTTTGTGCTTTATTTTATTTTAAAGATGAAACAGAATGTTCATTTCTAACTGGTGCATTTCATGGGGTTTTTTTTAATATATTGACTAAACAATGGATTAAACATGTTACAAACAGAATAATCAATGGCTTGTTTTGTTCTACATGATTAAAGATGAGGTTTAATTACATTTTCCTCTCTGTGAGGAAAGGGTAGAATATGGGGCCAGCGTGAAGTTGATATCTGGGCACTTTTCACATTTACTTTTGTAATTTTTGGTTGTGACATATTTTACCTGGTCATTTCTACTGCGGGAATATATATAATGTGTGTGGCCTGACTGGCCTTGCTTTTATTATCCCTGTGTTTGTGGAGGCTGGCCTGTGAAAAACACAGTATTTCAGTTCTGTTCCTTCTGATTCTCACCTGTAAATTTCTTTTACCAATATTCTCTTTTGTGCACTCAAAGGAAATCTTGTTTGTTGAAGAGTAGAAATTAGAAAGTGCTGGAAATCAGCACACATTAGCCTTGCAGAGAGGAAGTGCCAGGGTATACAAGCAGTGGACTGAGGAAGCAGTGGGGAGATTTGGGCCGGTTCTGCTGCAGTCACAGAAGCTCTTTCTGGGGAGCTAGTGAAACTGCTTCATGATGCCAGGGAGAGGGGAAGGGCGCTCAGAAGTGCAGCAGGGAGTCAGGGCATGGGTAGGGATGACAGAACTGTGAGTCTCTATTGTTATCCCAAAGGTCTTCCTAGATATACTGTACCTCCCCCATCAAGGCTAATATACAAATCATTTATATTTCCATACTGACTAACAGTCAATGATTGTGTCAAAACAAACCACTGACAATGGCACAGTACTTGGGTCCTGCTGACATAAATGGGACCCATCACTTGGGAGGTCTCAGTCATGAGAGCTTTAGAAGGCTGATGAGAGAAACTAGCAAAGATCAGCATAGACCAGTTGAGAATTCTTCAGAATGACAAAATTCAACAGTGCTAGTGTTGAAAATTCTCTTCATATCCAATCATCAGTGAAACACATTCATCAAAATCCCGATAGGCATTTCTGTGAAAATAGACATAGATTCCAAGTTTTGCATGAAAATGCTAAGGGCATTGAGGAGCCAAAAAAAATTTTTTTAAAGGCAAACAAAGTTGGATGCCTCCTGTGAGTTAACACAGAGGCTTCCTGAGACAAGGCATCAATCAAGTCAATACAGTATTATATCAATGCAACACAAGGGAGAACCCTGAAATAGACTGACACACCCGTGCCAGTTGATTTCTAACCAGCACATCCAGCTAATTAGCTGACGAAAGATGGGCTTTGTTCTTAAAATGGGTGCTGAGATACTCAGACAGCTATAAAAAGAAAACTCTGAGCTGTGATTCATGGAGAGCCATGAAACAGGAGGGCACACATAGGGGACCACAGAGATAAATATCCCAGAATCGAACCTAAGGAGTGAACCTTGTTAGGAAAATAGTTCTTAGATTAGACATAAGAAAGGAAAAACTGGAGAGGAAGTATATTGTTATGGAAATGAACTGACAAGAATGTAGGGAGGGAGAAATGGTTCAAGTGTTCAGCTAAGGACTTGTATCCAGAATGTATCTAAAAACAGAGCCCACTCAGCACAAACAATCAAAGGATTTAAACCCACTTTATACCAAGGAGACACTGAGTAAAACTATAAAAGGCTTAAAATGACCAAATCATTTCTGAGAAAGAATTAAGCTGAAAGTATCTCATTCCTAATTTCAAACTATTCTATAAACCTGTTCAATAAGGATGAAACTGGGTTGGCAATGGTCAGAGAAGTAAGACAGAATAGAGTGTACAGAAATAGAATTGAGCCGGTGTGGCCAGCTGGACACACAGTCTGGAAATAGTGGCCTCCTCTGTAAATGACCCTGTGACTACCACATGCCCATGGCTGAACAGGTTCTTCACTTTACACTTGTAGAAAAATAAAGTGTAAGCCAGTAAAGGACAGAAATGTGTGATTAGAAGGCACAAGACCCCACGGAGAGAACAAGGAAAGAGTTCTTCAACATAGGTTTTTCATGTATGACACCCAAAGCACAAGAAACAAAAGCAAACATCCCCAAGTGGGACTACATCACACCAAAAGATTGCTAGGACCCACAATGTGGAAGAAAGATCCAAATCTTGCATGTCCTCTGACCATCACATAATTGGCATGGTCCCATGCACGCACGTACACACACACACAACTAAATAAAATGAAAAATTTTAAATATTTAAGAAAGAGTTGGCATTGTTAAATATTTAAGAAAGAGATAGCATTATAAACCTTATAAATGATAAAGGTAAACATACAAAATGCATGAGGAATTCATAGAACTCAATAGCAAATAACAACAAAACAAAATACGTAATTTTAAAAAGCAGGCCAAAGACTTTAATATTACCAAAGAAAACACACCAACCAGTCTTTAGGAAAATCCCTAAAATCATTAACCTCAAACTAATGGAAGTGGGAACTATAGAGAGATAAGCCCCTGCACCTGTTAGGATGGCTACTACAGAAGACAAGAAGACTTCTAGGGAGTGTAGTGGGAAGGAGAATTGACTCAGACTAGGTTATGGGAAACTGTAGAGGTTGCTCAAAACATTCAAATTCATCTGTTTTGTGATGCAGGAACCCCACTCCCAGGCCTAAACCTGAAAGTGAGACCCTGTGGATGCATGTGGACCCTATGTTCATATCAGTGTAATTCTTAATGAGCAATATATAAAAAATTCCTTGGGGCCCATCCTTAGGTAGACAGGAACTCAGGGACAACTCTACACTGGGAAATCATCAAACTAGGAAAATAAGCCTGCCCTTTGCAACAGCACAGATAAACCTCAAATGTATCCTTTTTAATAGAATAAGGCAAGCCAGTAAACACTGATACCCTATAACCTTGTTCAGGTAGAAAACCGAGAGGCCAATGTGAAAGCTGAGTAGAACAGTACAAGTGGGCATGGAGGTGGGTTTTGGCATGGGTCACAACATGCAGGTATAATATGAATATATTCTGAGGACACATTCAACTTGGTCAATGATAGACCTGTGAATCAATACCATCAAGGTAACCATTGTTCAGTGTGTGCCACGTTGTCATAATGTACACCTTAAATATATTCAACCTTTCATTTAACAGCTAATATTTTAAAATATCAACAATCCCAATTAAAATCACAGTATCACAGTGAGAAGCCATTGACACATTTAATAATTGATTCCAGTGGGCACAAGAAAGAATGATAAAAACAAATTCCCTATGTGACTAGCTAGTTTTACAGGTCTGTAAACTTTTACCACATACCATTGACTTGGAACTGGGGTGGTGGCTCAGGGGTAAAGCATGAAGAATCTAGTTTGGACCCCTAGGATCCCTGTGAAATCTGAGTGTTGTGGTGTGTGCTTATCACCCAGCTCTGGACAGGTAGCAACACATGGATCTCAATTCTAGAGGCTTGTTGGACAGCTAGCTGACCCAGGACAACAAGCCTTAGGTGTAGTGAGTGTAGAGCATTTTCTTAATTAGTGACTGATTGGATGGGGGTGGGTGGATGGACAGCTCATTGTGGTTGTGCTACCCCTGGCATGAATGGTCCTGATTCTATCTGACAGTGGGGTAACCTCCATAGGACCAATCTAGGACCTCTGAGTGTGGGTGACAGTTGTGTGGCTTGGGCAGTCTGTGGGGCCATTGGCAGTAGTACCAGGATTTATCCTTAGTGCTTGAATTGGCTTTCTAGAGCCCATTCTTTTTGGAGGAATGCCCTGCTCAGCCTAGATGTGTGTATGTGTGTATGTGTGTGGGGGGGTGTCCTGCCTCGAAGTGATATGCCAGACTTTATTGACTCCTCAGGGGAATTATTACTCTCTCTGAGGACTGGATGAGAGGTGGGGTCAGGGGAAGGTAGGCAGAGAGGGAGGAAGGGAGGGAGTAGGAACTGGGATTGGTATGTAAACTGAGAAAAGACTGTTTTAAAATAAAAAAGATTTTTAAAAAGTCTTTTAATTCTGTTTAATGATATATATATATATATATATATATATATATATATATATATATATATATATATATATCAGGCTGAGCAAGCCAGTAAGTAGCACTCTTCCATGGCCTCTGCATCAGGTCCTTCCTCCAGGTTCCTACCCTGCTTGAGTCCCTGCCCTCACTGCTTTTGATGATGAACTGTTATATGGAAGTTTGAGTGAAATAAACCCTACCTCCCCACCCCAAGTTGCTTTTGGTCATGGTTTCATCAAGGCAGTAGTCACCCTAAATAGGACAGAGAGAGATCCTGTTGCAAAATAACTAGGTGGAGTAGTAAATGAGGAAGCCACCCTCATGTCAACCTCTGGCTTCCTCACATTCCTGCTCAGGCACACACACACACACACACACACACACACACACACATACCATTGTACTGTATATCTACAATAAATCAATTTTGCTGTGTATGAGGTAGATATACTTAAAGTTTAACAGAATCTCAATCAGCTCTAACAAGAATAATTAGCACTCCTACACATCACATGTCACAACTAGTTGCATGTATTCCCTTGGTAAAAGGGACATGCATTTCTGCTTGAATACTAACACTAAAGGAGATTATTCTTAAATCTTGTAGTAAAGCATCACATTGCAAATTCAGTCATTATTTTTTGGTGAACATTATCAATTCAGGGCTTTCTCCTGCCAGTGGACTTTAAAATGAAAGGTGATGAAGTGCCTTTTGCTTATTTATTTCTTTGCTTTGCTTGAGATGTTTGGAATTTTCACACTTTTTTCTGCTTATAATATGGCTATCGTTAAAATTTTTATTCTAATATTTATATTTCAATAAAAACTCAAAATATCACCCATAGTTCTATATGTTAAATCCCATACCCATTGTATTTTAACTTTCTCCATTTGTTTACAAATCCCTTTGCACATTTAAATGCAATGCCGAGTTCAATTATGAACTTCGAACAGCTTTTAAATTACCTATTGATCTTTCTATTGCAGTTAAATGTATTTCGGTAAACATTATTTTTGGAGTTGAAATGAATGGATTTTTTTTTTTTGAGAAGTGAAACAGAATGACAGGTGAAATGAAGGGAAAGCTTTGCATGTTTCCTGCAGCTTATAGAACATGTTTTTATCTGAGTAAACATACCTTCTGTGGTCCAGCATCCTGTAGCTTTTGATTGATACAACAATGTTAGAAGAAAACTAATTGTTGTATTGATTGTTTTTTGTAGCAGTCCCCTGGTGCTACCAATTGCCAAGCAAGACAGTTTACTGGAAAAAGACATTATGTTCAAAGACACAACAAAGGGTCTGTGCAAGCAGGAGTCTCAGGATGGGCTCCCAGAGGCCAGCACAGTGAGCAGCTGCAGCAAGCAAGAGCAGGTAACCACCATGCTTCTTCAGGTACCCTGTAAGGTCATTCCAATGTCAGCTACCCTCCATTCATAGATAAATGTGAATGCATAGACTAGGGATCTGTTTAAAATTCCTGTCAATGTGGCATTGTACTAGTCACTAATAAATGTAACTGGTTAATTTTAGAGAAGTTTGAATTTTATAGTCAATATTAACCTCTATCTTATTCTTGCATATGTTCAGGTGTCTTTAATTATTAAGAGTATTTCTTTCTCTTTTTTTAGTTATCCAAATATACATAAATAGGTCAAAAGTAGATATGATATTGTAGTGTGTGTGTGTGTGTGTGTGTGTGTGTGTGTGTGTGTAGTCATTTAAGACTGGATACCCAATTTAGGACAGACTTCTTTGTTGTTTTGGAGTGTTATAAGCTTGGGAAACAGACATTAGCATGTCTTATTTTTCTGTGATTAAAATAAATGATTTCCCCATGTGTGGTGCTTTGTTAGTGGCTCTTATTCCTGTTTTAGTGTCTCTAATTTGACATACTATATACTTCATTTTGTTTCTACATACCCTCTATTCTAGTGTCAGTTTTGTTACTGTGAGAAAGAATAGCCTGGCAAAGGCCACTGAACAGACAAAGAAATCCATTTTAGCTCACGGTTCCAAGCAACAGTTGGTCATTTCAGGGAAGTCAAGGCAAGAACTCAGACAGCTAGACAAATCACACCCACAGCCAAGAATAAAATACATCATTGCTCACTGGCTTGCTCTCAGCTAACTTCCCTGCTTCTTAAGCTGTTCAGGATGTTTCCTGCCTAGGAAATGTCACTGCCCACAGTGGACTGGATCTTTCCACTTCAATTAGTAATCAAGACACTTCCCTGTAGACATTTCTACTGACCAACCTGATCTAGATAACTCCTTATTAATACTCTTTGCAGGTATTAACACTTTTTGCAGGTGATTCTATGTTGTGTCTCAACAATGGTTAAAACTAACCGAGATACCTTCTTCTCAGGATTAAACTTTAAATTGCTTTAAATAAATTGAGGAAACCACAAATATTTGGGGAAAAGGCCATTTTTATTGGCATGATTTTGAAGTATTTTCTTAATTGGCTTACAGAGTATGTAGAACTTGAGATCAGTTGAATTTGCCACTAATGAAGGTTACTAACAGGATATTTATGGTACAGTTATAATCCTCACATGCCTTGTAGTTACTGGTTATGTGTGAGTTATTCTGTGTTGGCTTTAATTTGCCTTGAAGCTATTAAATATCTGTCTTGGCCTGGTAGTACTGCAATAATAAATTCTTATTTAATTAAATGAGCACAAACTTGGCCCATTCTTTCATGTAAATGCTGAGATTTGGGTCTCAGTGGAGACAAAATTGTTCTGTATAGCAAACTAATAGATTTTAAATGACCATTTAGCACAGGGTTCTAGAAGACATAAAGCACTCTTCAAAACGAAGACGATGCCACAAGCAACCTTGGGAGGAAAGGGTTTATTTGACTTACACTTCCACATTACTATTAATGACTGAGGAAGTCAGTACTGGAACACAAACAGAGCTGGAGCTCAGAGAGGCAGGAGCTGATGCAGAGGCCATGGAGGGATGCTGTTCACTGACTTGCTCCCCATGGCTTGCTCAGCCTGCTTTCTTATAGACCCCAGGACCCCCAGCCCATGGATGGTACCACCCATCATGTGCTGGGCCCTCCACCATCAATCACTAATTAAGAAATTGTCCTACAGACATGCCTGATCTTATGAAGGCATTTTGTCAATTAAGGTTCCCTCCCTGAAGACTCTAGCTGGTTAAAGTTGACATAAAACTAACCAGCACAATATGTCCAGCCTTGCTACTCTCTGGCATCCCTCTGTGAGCTTCCTGCATTTGGAAATTACTAAGTAGACTCAGAACTTCTACTGTTTTACTTTCACTAACTGCCAAAAGAACACTTTAATAAATGAAGCCAATTGTGACATCCAGCCACTTAAGACCCTGGGCAGCTTTCCCTAACCCTTGGAACTATGTAGCCATTCCTGTAGTCTTCAGGAATTCACTACTATTCCTGCAAACCTGCTGCCCTCTGCAACAACTCACAGCTACGCTGGGCCCTCAAGGGATTCCCACTCATAACCATGGCCCTCCCCTTCCATCCCAAAAGGCTTGTCCTTCCAAACAATTCCTGCTTTCGATGCCCCAAATGAGGACAGTCTAAATTACCAGGGAGCAAACTTTTTCAATGATTTACTTTCTTCTGTGTGTTTTCTGCACTTGTGATTTCTTATTTATGTCCTTGCTTCTCCCTCCAGTAAACTGAGAACACTGAGATGAAAGATTATTACAAGTAAGGTTTTTCCGCCAGCCCACCTGGTCCCACCGCTATGCCAGCCCCAAATAACACACTGAGACTCTTCTATTAATTTAAGTACTTCCATGGTGGTGGTTCTATTCTCTCCAGTCTCTCCATGTTGACACCTCCCTACTACTTCCTCTAATCCTCCTAGTCTCCTAGTCCCACCTATCTTGCTTTCCTATTGGCCAACAGTGCTTTATTCATTAACCAGTATGAGAAACATATTTACAGAATGACATTTCCCAACAGCTCCTCTTTTCTGTCTAAGTAAAAGAAGGGTTTCAACCTTAACATAGCAAAATAAATCACACAACAGTTATCAAATAAGAATCACAGTTAACAATATTTAGTCCATTAACATTTAGTAAGATTTAAAGAAAATATTCCATCATCTATCCTATCTTTGTGTGTCTAAAGTCTATGTAACTTATCTTTAATCCTAACTAAGGAAAACTATAACCATATTTGTCTTCAACGCCATCAAAGATCACAGAAGGATAATCTATAAACTCTAGAAATGACAGAGACATCTTGCCTGGTCAGTCACCTGAAGTTCTTCTGTAATGTTCCATCTTCAGCATATAGGCCTTAGTGTGTCTGGCAGACTCCTCAGCAAAGCAGAAAATTTTAACCTGTCTATCTGTATTGGCAGGTTGACAGTTATTTTTCTCTATGCCCTGCTGACTGTCTGGCAGACTCTTCCATGAAGCAGGAATCCTGTAGCAATGTCCATCTTGTATCAGCAGTCACTTTCCAGTGGGTCCTACATGTCCAGTTTATACAGCATAAAGTCGAACAGTCCAGAAAAGAGCAGTATCTTGTCCAAATGGCTAGTCTTGCCATATTGGAGGCAAAGTCCATAACATTTTCTTTAATGTGTATTCTTCTTTCTGATGCAGGTGGTGTTGCCAGGAGCAGTTATGTCTCACTGTCAAGAAAAAGCCTAAACCATTTTAAATGTCATATTCTGTAGGTCTTTGAAAGGTTTGAAGAATGCCTATTTATCTCAAATACATGTCTGTATATCTAGAAATCTTAACTAACTTAACTATAAGATCTAACTATCATAGGTACTATCTATAATCTGTATTGAATTGTACATTACATTTCTACACAATACTTAAACAAGAGGAGAAATATACATATCACAAAATTGACCCTAAATTGTATCAATAAATTAAAATCCATTCCAAAACAAAGTATTCATATCTATACCATAATCCCCTTTTTACCTTTAAAAAGAGATTGATTATGGTCATTAGCCATTTATAACCTACCCCATTTAAATGAAAACAAATATTTATAAACAATATTTGGAAATTTGGGTGTTGTTCTTTCCAAACTGCTTCCTCCTGATAGAGGGCACTGTCATTGGGGATCCTAAGAAGATGTAGAAATCCTAGCTATAGTCTGCAAGGCTGCCTTGTTCAGCTGTTTTGAATGTTGGATCACCAGGAACGCTGTTTCAGGGGGTCTGGCTTGATCAAACCATGTTAGTCTAGAAGGAATCCACAGCTTTACATTTTCTGTAGAAATAAAAATAGAAATCCTTTTCCCCAGTAACCTGTCCTTGAACTTAAAATTTTGGAGTCAAAGCATTTTTAAAATATGTAAATTGAATTAATCCAGCAGTATTTCTTTTATCAGTTGTTGTTATTCCCTCAGCAGTCAAATAATTTAAAGACAATAGAATAGTGTATAGTATCCACAGATATTTTTGTACTTTTTTATTACTCTGGGTTTTTTTTACTTTTTATTTTTTTCAATTTTTTGAGACAGGGTTTCTCTGTGTAACTTATCTGTCCTGCATACCAGGTTTACTTTGCAATCACAAAGATCTGCTTGCCTCTGTCTCGCGAGTGCTGGAATTAAAGGTGTGTGCCACCACACCTAGCTCCTCTCTGTCTTTTTAAAATCGTTTTATTTTTTTCTCTCCCAAGTTTATGTATATTTTAAAATATACTGTAAACCTTTAGCTTTTTCTTAATGTGAATCTGCCTTTACTGTAAATCTTTACCTTTTTGTAGTCACAAGTCTTTTATCTGGTAAACAACAACATTGCTAAAATGAAAGCCACAGCTGTGTTAGCCCCGTCAATCCAAGATGGAGGCGGGTACTTTTACAGCCAGAACTGAGAGCTGTACTCACCGCCTTGGTCTACACTGCCATCCAGCAGCATGCTGCCGGCTTGGAGATGTGGTCATTGTCATTGCCAGCTCTCACACCATTACATTGTTAGCAGAACTCTTTAAAAGCCTTGCGGTTTTTTGCCGCTTATGCTGAGTCAGGAACCCTCCCTTAAAGGAGTCGCGCAAGTCTCTGCTTATCTCTTGCAAAACAGAGTCCAACCCAGAAAAATGCTATTAGCAAGAAGCCTTGCTTGTCTTTGTTCTTTTGTTTCTAAAACCATTTTTTAAGCTTTTGTTAAGTTTTAAGTGTAAGTTCTTATTAGCCACATTGCAGCACCATAATGTTGCTAGTAAGGTTTTCCCTGCTGACCTGGGCCCAGAGCCATGCCAGCCCCAAATAATGCACAGAGACTCTGTATTAGATATTATGCTGTTGGCCAGTTACTAGTTTCTTATCCACTAGCTCTCTCTTAAATATTAATCCATTTCTATTAATCTAAGTGTTTCCACGTGGCCTCATCTTACCGGAGAGTAGGCTGGTGTTCTCTCTCTGTCTCTACACGCTGCCTCCTCTTTACTACTTCCTTGAAACCTCCTTGTCTCCTAGTCCCACTTATCTTGCTTTCCTATTGGCCAACAATGCTTTATTCATTAACCAGTATGAGAAACATATTTATAGAATGACATCTCCCATCAAAAGATAATTTATTCTCTCTCTCTCTCTCTCTCTCTCTCTCTCTCTGTGTGTGTGTGTGTGTGTGTGTGTGTGTGTGTGTGTGTGTGAAACACACAAAGCCTGTTAGAGAGCAGATAAGCTAGAAACACTACAGACTACTGCATATGTTCCTGAAGCCATTCATCACTGCTGCCCGCCTTCACTCCTTGTTGCACAGTGGTAGCCAGTGGAACTTGTAACTCACCAACTCACATAATTATTCTCCATTATAAGCCTATTGGGATTTGAAATCACCTAGGAGACACACCTCTGGGTGTATCTGTGAGGGTGTTTTAGAGAGGTTTAATTGATAAGAGATCTATCCTGAGTGTGGGTAGCTTCAAACAGCCAAGTAAAAGTTGTTGAAATGAAGGGGAGCAGCTAAGCTCTGACTCTTCTCCACCCATCCTGGTTGACACTATAGACCAAGCTGTTCTCACTCTCACAGCTTACCTGCCAGCCATGATTGCCTTTCCCTGCCCTAGGAGCGCAAATTTTCTAAATCACTTTTTGTCAAGTATTTGGTTACAGCAACAAGAGAAATAACTAATCACCAACTCTGTGTCTTTAGAAAAAAAAATCATCTCTTAGCCAGGCAGTGGTTGTGCACTCCTTTAATCCCAGAATTTGGAAGACAGAAGCAGGTGGATCTCAGTGAGTTTGAGGCCAGCCTAGTCTACAAAATGAGTTCTAAGACAGTCAGAATTGTTACACAGAGAAACCAAAAAGAAAAAAGAAAGAAAGGGAGAAAGAGGGAGGAATGGAGGGAGGGAGGGAGGAAGGAAGGAGGGAAGGAGGGAAGGAAGATAAACCACCTCTTCCTGTTCTCAGCCTGAAATCCTGCTGAATATCTTATCAGATCCCTCTGCCTTTATCCTGGCCTGCCTTTGGCAAGAATTGGTTATATACACTTCTCTGGGTTCCTTCTACTCCTTCATGTGCTCTGGTAGTCCTTCCCTCTCATGACCCCTCCCTACTCCTTAATCATCAACCCTGCCAAGGATTTGAATGGAGCCCGTCTCTGTCCTACTCTAGAAGGCCTCACTTCAGACAGTGTTCCCTACACCTACTCTTCTTTCCCCAAATAACTCCTAGGCCTTCAGCTCCCTCAACCATTGTCACTGACAAATTTTTTATTTAGCAAGAGGCCGGTCAGGAATGGCCATTCTTCCCTCCAGGGTGTCGCTCACAGAAATTGTCAGAGTGAGACTTAACAAGGAGCCCCCTTGAAGTGTGTGACTCAGTACACCAATGCTGTACACTCAACCTCAGAGCTGACATTGGGCCAAGTTCTCCACATGAGTTGAGTGTGTGAGTCTTAGGGACAGGTGACTGGTGTCTGGAAACTTAGAGAAGGAATATTATACAAATTGGTTTTTCAATGAGCAAACATGCTTTTATTGGAATATTGTGTTTTCAGGTAGAGACAGATTGGTGTCCAATGTCCAGGAATCCCTAGCCATAGTGTCTTCCAAGTGACTTATGTAACATTCTGCTCTCCTGAGCTTTGAGATGCCCAGGAAAGAACCTCTGCTTCTTCTATTCAAGTTCTTGGGCAAAAGGCAGCCTGAGAGACAAGGGAGAAAGGTTTCATCTCATTATGTATTCACTAGCTTTGGGAAAATAGTTCTAATTTTAGTGATTTAAGATGTGTAGTGATTTCCACTCTGTAGATACTTGCCTGATAAACAGTGATAATTATATTTAAATTATTCAGCAAAGGAACACACAATAAATAATACAGTGTGTGATACAGATATGAAATTGAAGGAGAATATTGACTGCAGAAAAATCACAGAAAGCATAATGAGCTTGTTTTTGTGTGAGGTTTCCGGTGTCTCTCTCTGGCTCACAGTGTCCCTCACAGATTCTTCTTCTGTTGCCTCCTGTGCTTGACAGGGAGTCAAACCTGCTCTGTCCTATCCCAAGTGTCTGCTGTAAGAGCATGCTTTGTGCCCATTAGACTAAGTGTGTGCATTTCTTACATGGAGGTTGCTGGTTTCCATCTAGTTAAAAGACCAAATTCATCTGGATATATTTGAAATATTTATTTTAAAATAATTTGTTTGAAATAGTTATTGAAATGTTGCTAGGTTTTAGAGACAGAGGTGTTATTTTTCTTCTGGACAGTTACCTAATCTCACAAATACCTTAATGTTAATATCAATGCAAAACAGAATAAAAAATCACAAGCCCCTCATCTGGGGTCTACTATGGAGACTTGACCTTTCCTGTGAAAAAGCAGAAACTGAACCCCCTGCCTTTCTATGCCCAACACAGTCTCAAGGGCTTAGCTTTGGAAGCACTAAAATGCTTGGCTTTGTCAGCTCTTCAAGGACTTGGAACACACAGATCTGACTTACAGTGTGGGAATAGGAGAGGTCCGTCAACATCTGATGGTCTTCAAGGTATAAGGTCATAAGGACCATGGCACAAGATGTCATGTATATAACACAAATTCTCATCTGAATAATTTTGTATTCCTTGAACCATTATTAATCTCAAATATAAGAGGAGAAAGACCATGACCCCAAATAATCATAGTCAAATTAAGACAAGCAACTAATTAAAGCAAGCTTGTTTATTTATGTAAATGGACTGCCCCCCCAGGAGGAGTTTGAGAGGTCAGCGCTGGATTCGAGGAAGACAAGGCTTTTGTAGCTCAGGGTAGGGGATTCCCAAACGGGGACTTTGAGAGGCAAAATGAGCAAGATTATAGGAGCCGAGCATACACATAACAAGTTAGCTCCTCCTGAAACAAAAACATGGTTTCAAGGTGGGCATAGCAAGGTAGTCATAGTCATAACAAGGTACTTACTCATAGGTGGTATTACAACCTTTTGAAACAAAGTTAGGTATTCATAATGGTTACAAACAACTTTTTGAAACAAAGACATGATTGCCATTCCTGAAAGAGGCAGTGTGGAACCATTTGTAGTTAAGTTTACAGGTGGGGCATAGCCCAATCCTTGAGACACAGAGACTTAATCATAAACAGGAGTGAACCTAGTTTGTCTTTCTATATGATGTCTTTAACTCTAAGATGGAGGCAGGCTCCTCCATCTCACCCTTTAACAATGGAGTCATACTCACATGGTCTCAGGAATTTGAGAAGCATCTATCAAGAACTGATCAAAAAATGACTAAAATTGGCCTTTGCTGCACCCCACAGGTCCAGCTCATGCCTCCTGCTCCCAGTGATGACCTAGCCACACTCAGTGAGCTTAATGACAGCAGCCTGCTGTATGAAATCCAGAAGCGCTTCGGAAACGACCAGATACACGTGAGTGCCCGCAGAACTGTGTCCTGCTGATTTTGGGATCCCCTCTCAGGACCACGATGTTGCAAGTGACAGGTCCCTGGAAGCATCAGGCCCTGGTGATGGCTGGGTTTGAGCTTTACAGAGTGAGAAGCTCAATCTTGGGAAGGTTGTCTATTGGGTTCTGCAAAATTCCAAATTTCAGAGTTAAAGTGTCAACTAGTTCTCTGAAGGTAGGCAGGCTGTGCGTTTGGTCTCAGAAACCTGGGACAAATGGCTAACTGAGGTACATATTTACATGTCAAAGCAGATCTTGGCCAGCTCTTATACACCATTCAGTACCTATGGCTTCTATCAGCACTTTGATCCTGCATCCTACCCCAAGCCTCTCTCTCCCAGGGACTGGGCTTCCCTTTTCTTCCCCTAGCCTGATCCCTATATAGTCCAGCCATTTGGGCTATGCAGTTCTCTTGGCCTCTTGGCCTTAGCTGCTTCCCTGGTTGATGGCTCATCTCTTGTACTTCTCCTCCTCACAGATTTTATGATCTGATTTAATTTGCTGGCCATCTTCAGCCCAGACTCCTCTTTTTGCCTGCTTTCTCTCACATATCTACAATGAAAATCTTCTCTAGACTTTAGGAGTAGTCTTCTCCTCCCTTTGTTTCCTTTTTTTCATTCACTGTGCACTTTCCTGTTGCCCTGACTGGGTGAGAGATCTTCCCCGGTCCAACAAGATTTGTAGATGAGTTGCCTGTCTGAGAAAATAAATGGAGCAGCTCCATGGTCCTTGCTAAGTGCTGCCTCTCTGACCCCTCTGACTGTTCCCAGTCCTCAGGAAGTATCTCTTTGTGCAGTAAACCATGTGTGCAAGATTTTGTATCCTGACAGGGATACAAAACAATACTATTTAGATGGAGAATGAATTAAAGTTGGCTGTGACCTCTTTTTCTGTATGTTTCTTTTTGTAATGCTGGTTACAGTGTAGACAACCTGTAGTCCCAAGATCCATTTCTTTCTCCCTCCCTCTATCCCCCTCCCACATGCTGGTTGATTTTGTTCTGTTCCTACCATCCTGAGTCTAGGACAATTCAGTCAGAATGCCTGTGGAGATTTCTGATTATGCATGAATCTGTCACACTCCCTGATAACACCCATTTAGTCCTAATCTACTGAGAATCTGATTAAGTCATTTTCATGTAAATGTGAAGACTGAGATTTCCCAACAAGTAAGGAATTGTCAGGTCCTCATTAACCCCTGAAGCTGCAGCACAGCCTCTTAAGGCTTCACTATACTGCCTGCCACCCTAGATGCATTTAAAATTAGGCATGAGCACCACAATTGTTGGAATTTTACCATTGGCATAAGTGGTTAAACCTGATTGCTTGGGTCTCCATTGCCTCCCTGGTGCTTTTGGGAAGTGGTTTTTTTCTTCCTTCCTTCCTTCCTTTCTTTCTATCTCTTTCTTTCTTTCTTTCTTTCTTTCTTTCTTTCTTTCTTTCGTTCTTTTCTTTCCATTTTTGACTTGTTTCATTTTGTAGTACAAAGGACTATAAATCCAGGGCCTTATGCATGCTAGGCAAATTCTATAACATTAATCTACATCCCTGGTCATTTCTTTGCTTTTTAACTTGAGAAAGATCTTGACAATTGTCCAGTCTGGCCTGAAACTCAGTAGCATAGGATGGACTTGACCTTGCAATCCTCCTGCCTCAGCTCCTGAGGGGTTTACGCCACCAAGTCCATGAAATGACGGGGTTGGTTTTGTTCCTTAATTCCATTCTGTTTGTCCAGGTGTTCTGTCTCTTAAATAGCCACTCACTCCATCCACACTGTGGTCCACCACCACTGCTCTGGAAGCCCCCTAACTTTGGAGTTCCTTATTTCCCTCACCGTCTGAACTCAGTGAACTGGAGCATTTCCCCCCCCAGTACCAGAATAACACAGAGCTCCTTACAGAAGCCTGTCCAGTCACTTCCCACGGCAGGTAGAGCACAGCTCTGTCTCTGAGGTAGGCATCATGGCTGAGAAGCCAGTCAGACTCAGCCCACAGGCAAACCATGAGTGGGCTTTACTGCCTGTCACTCATTGGTCAATAACTGCCCTCCTCCTGTATTGGAAACTTTTATGAGGTTCTTTGCTTTGCTCTGGCTTTGTTCTGTTCTCTCCGCAGAAGAGAACTTTCAGGAATCCCACTCAAATGTGCTTCCATCTCTGTGTCTCCCCTGAATGGCCAAGCTACATTACAGAGGGCTCTGTTTCATAAGAACATGCATCATGGTGCGAGACTGTCCTCCTTGTTCTGTGGTTGATATGTGGTTCCTGTGCCAGAACCTGGGCTTGATGATGACACAGCCAGGCAGTTGTGTTCACATAATACCTGGCTGGTGCTGCTGATGTTGAAGGCCAGGTTCGTTCCACCCATCCCTCCTTTTCCTTTCAGTGGATGGTCTTCACTGAAGCCTACTCTACACAGATTCTCTCTCTATCTGAATCATCAGAAATAGTACCCCTTGCTAAAGGTCATGTCAGTTATGAACTTGCCACTGAGATAGCTAAAGTCACATCTAAAGGAGGACGGACATGTAAACTCAATGTAGTCCAAGATGATGAATGCCTGTGGGCCCCTGGCGCTGTGTTCTAGTTCTCCAGCTGTGTACTAATGAGGAGAGCTGGTGTTTGATGTCCCCCAACTCTGTTCTTTTTTGTGATTAGGGGAATTAACCCATGTCCTCACACATGCTAAGTAAGACCTTCCCTCTGAGCTATAGCCTTTCCTTTTTACTTGTTGAGACAGGGTCTCACTAAGTTGCTCAGGCCAGCCTTGAACATAGAATCCTCATGCCTCAGCCTACCAAGCAGATGAAGTGGCAGTCTCTGGTGAGGTCCCTTGTGTGAACACCTGATTAGGCCCCTCACTTCTCTTCTGCTTGTCTTGGGAATCTCATAAATACCCTTTTCAAGGCGCACTCAGGATTAACAACCTGTACTTCTGTCATGCAGCCATGAGTCCTACTCCAACTGCAGCATCTCACACCATCCTCTAGGTAAAGATCTGGATTTCCCTTGACTCTCTGTTCTCAGTGCAGCAGGCCTGTTAGAACACATGGCAGCATGCCACTTCCTGCTTAAAGGAATTCACGATCTTTCTGGGGAAAGCTGGGGCCCGGGGACTGTTTCTGGTCCCTTGTGCTCTTGAGCATCAATGCCATAGCTGACCTACTGGTCACTTTGAATTCCTACGACAGTGTTACTGAGTGCACAGCACCCGTCTCTCACTGTACACCAATGGCCTCACTCATAGGGGACTTCCCATGACAACTTTTCAGCTTCAGTGTTGTTTTCTGTGTTGTGTCTTACATAAAGCACATACGCTCCTATCCATGTTCACATGCATGCCACAGTAGCATGTAAAGTGCTTAAAGACTGAGTATGTGAGAATGCCTCTCAGATTAAACATACCTTTTAGCACAGAGAAAGAAGTTGATATGAATTTATCTGTGACAAACAACTGAATCTGAGATGAGCTATTAATATTTCAGATGCTGCAGCTGACCTGATCATTCGACAGAGTTTCTATTTCCTTTTCTGCATCTCATTTGTTACGTGATGTGATTTGTCCATACCAGCTGTGCCTTGTGTGGGTCCTGAGTGTGTAACATCCAATTGGATGTTAGGTTGGGGAATTTCCACACATCTGCCACAACATGAAGTTCCCAAACCTTCAAACAAAAAAATGGCTTGCAGGTGATGAGGTGTAAGCTTACCAGAAAATGCACAGAATAAGGACAATGTACGTCTGGAGTAACAATTGTCCACAGTGACAGAGAATATAGAACACACACCAGAGTCCTTTGTGGGCAGAAAAAAGCCAGGAGGGAAGTATTCTCTGCATAGAACCTACTGGGATTTGAAGCTCACAAGGAAACAGGATGCAAAATCAATGCAGAACTCCCCCCTCCACCCCCCAGCACTTCTGGCTAGCCTAGGGAATTCTGAAAAGAAGTGCTTCACAAGTCAGAGCAAGAAAACCCTGACAGCCCTTGGGTTCCTTGATGCCTGTGCAATTTCTGCTCAGGTGGACCAGGTCAGGTGTCAGGACTTTTGCACAGGGCACTTCAGGGGGCGGTCAAATGGCATGAAGAACCCTGTGCTAGCCTCACTCTCTAAGGCTCTCCTGTGACATGCTGTGATGCCTACTCGCTGCTAGGGAGATGCTTCTGGAAGAGACAATGTGCAGAATAATGGGAAAATGACTTTTAGGACAACGAGCTAAGGGAGTCACCGTTTCCACAGCTGAGAGGACAGTGGCAGCGGTCCACTTTGTCAGATGTCCTCCCCAGCTATGATAGTGTACACAGTGTCAGCTTTATCCCTCGTTGTGGGGTATATATTTGGGGTGTCCAATGTGACTTTGAATAATTGATGGCAGATCTGCATAGAGAAGTACTTGTTGAAGTTAAGAAAATTAGCCTCACCACCACTACTACAGTTACTGTTTATTTTCTAGTGTTAACACCTGAGCTCTCTTCGCTGGTTCCTAGTGTATAGTGAGACATTGCATCTGAATCTTCCCACTCTCACAGCATGCCACTCACATCCTCTAGGGTCTGTGTGGTGAGATATCCAACCCTCCCGAACTTGTTGCATTGACCACGCCCATTGGAGCATGGGGAGAGGTATGGATGTGATATGTGGGGTCTAGGTCTCACTTTCTTACACCCTGGTCAGAGACAGAGAGCATCTGGGAGCATCCTTGGAGTAGGAACCCACAGCAGTCATCTGTTTCTGGTGTAAGTGACTTTTCCTGAATAAATATCCATCAGCCTATATTGTGTCCCAGAATCTTATTTGCCAGGTAATAGTTCTGTGTTTAGTTTAGAAGATAAATATCTACTGTTTCAAGCAACTGTAAAAGAAGATTTTGCTGTCTAGTCTGGGTCACACTGGACCTGTTTTCTCTCAACCCACCAGGTCCCACAGCTGCTTAACAAAGTAATCACTCAGAGACTTAATATATATTTATAATTGTTTAGCCAATGGCTTAGGCTTCTTACTGGCTAGCTCTCTCTTAATTATTAAGCCATAACTATTAATCTGTGTATCTCCCCCTGGCCTTATCTTACTGGAGAATGCCCAGGTGTCCTGCCTTCCTATAGTAGCTACATGGCCTCTGTCCTTTGTCTTTCTTTTCCCTCTTCTTTGTTCAGAAATCCTGCCTAACTAAATCCTGCCTGTTCGTTGGCCAAAACAGATTTATTCATCAACCAATAAAAGCAGCACATATTTACAACACAAAGAAGGACCTCCCACATCAAGCAACTGCTTTCTGAATGAATCAGTAATTAATTCAATTTTTCATCTGCTCATTTCAATAAACAAAACTAGGAAATCTCTCCTTGTCCTGGCTTCCTCCTCTAAGCTGTTTTTAGATACTTTATGGTAGATTGATTTAGCATGGGTACATAGAATTGCTGTCATTTCCTGACTGCTATGTCAATTTCTCATTATGAAAATGTCCATTTTAGTCCCCAGTGTCGCTGCCCAAGCTACATCTCTAGGGGTTCATGCTGTAAGTCAGCTTTTCTGCTGATGTTGTTAAATGTATATCTTGCTTTATTCTTTTACTTTCAAATTTTCCCATTCTTAATATTTTTCTCAAAAGTAGCAACATCTACCATTTTCACCCAGTTCATAGTCTTTGTCTTTTAGCTCAGTATTTGGAAACTGTATGTTTTTTGTAATTACAGACATACATGTGCTTATACCTACATTTATAATCTCTATTCATTCCTAAGCCTTTACTATTGCTTCAACTTTGTTAATTAAAATGTTTGATTTTTAAGCTTTACGAACTCTTTATATCTTTTTCTTTAACGCTATAGTTGCATAAAATTAAATGTCCCATTTTCTTTTTTCTATGAGTTTGCTTATTTTGCTTCTATACTGTTGATCCAGACTGATTCTCAGAAAATCCCTTTGCAATAAACACCTAGAATCTAACCATTTCACTGGCTCTATTTTATTGTGCCAAACATTGCAGCTTCATTTAATTTGAATATGAATTTTATATTTCATAAGAATGTTTGGGTCAATTAGACCCAATTAGAACATGACTTTCGTCAATTCAACATGTTTCCCACAATAGTTTCTGAGTTATATAACTTTAAATGTTTCTATTTATGTGGTTCATGAACTATTTGCATCTTTTTGACAGACCTTTATTGGGGACATCTTCTTGCTTGTTAACCCATTCAAAGAACTCCCAATTTACTCCACTATGGTGAGTATAACACCCAAAATATCATTTTGGTGTGACATTCATGGGGTATACCCCTGTGTATTTGTTGACATAAAAACTAAAAGAATAACCAATCAAACAAAATTTCTCAGAATTTTCCTCACTTGAATTAGCATGCTGGTCACGTTAATGTATTCTGAGACAACTTGTGGAATCAAAATCATTTTACCAAAGGTATCTTTTACATTCAAAGATGTAATTCTGCTATTATGGTGCTTACCAAACAGAATAAATTAAATGATACAGTATATTTCCATGCATCCTTGACTGATTTGGTATTATTTAGTTCATGGATGACTTTTGTTCTGTGTTTAGTTTATGGATGGCTATTGACTGGTGTTTAGTTCATGGATGACTATTGACCTGTATTTAGTTCATGGATGACTTTTGATCTGTGTTTAGTTTATGGATGATTATTGACCTGTGTTTAGTTTATGGATGACTATTGACTGGTGTTTAGTTTATGGATGACTATTGACTATTTAGTTCATGGATGCCTATTGACTGGTGTTTAGTTCATGGATGACTATTGACTTATGTCTAGTTTATGGATGGCTATTGACTTATGTTTAGTTCATGGATGGCTATTGGTGGGTTATGGGGAAAGGTTTGGCACTATTTCTGTCTTTTGCTGTTAAATCATATTTCTATAATGACTGTTGTAGTGATATATATATATATACATATATATATATATATATATACACATACACACACACACATCACCTTATGCCTGTGATGATCAACTCATTTCTAAGTAGTAATGTCCCCTTTGAAACCACCACACAGATCCAGGAGCTAGACATGAATAGCATCACAGCAATATCATAAGTACAAGAGCTGTGTTCTTTTGTGCTGTTCTGTGAGGTGCCTAGCATTTCTTCATGACTCTGAACTGTTCTTGTTACCTACTTTTCACTTAGTTCCTATTACTTAGAAGAAAACAAAAGTTCCCAGAAACCAGAGCACTAAAAATACTAGTAGTGAGTCCCAGTGGCAGCCACAGGCCACCAGTCACTGAAATTAAGGCAATTACATTGCTACTTCTCTGAGAATTGTTAAATAAATTCCTATGCTCACAATCCCAATGAATTTGGAGTGCTGGCACCAAATATTGGGGAAATTCTTTATATGAGATGCCACAGTTCAAGTTTATTTAATGATAGCTATTAGAGTGGAATTTTGTGAGGTGCTGTTCTTTGTTGTCAGTATTGAGCTGAGAGAAGGACGATTGTACAGATGTTCTCCAGACACCCTGGGTAGACCCAGCAACACGTTTCAGTTTCAACATTTCCTCTTCAGCTGAGTGATATGCAGGACAGAGTAGATGTTCTTTCATCTTTGGTTTGCTGTCCGCAGGTGTCCCAGCTGTACTTAAGCCCCACAGGCCAGCGCAGCCCCTCACTCCCGCCCCATCTCTTCTCCTGTGCAGAGCGGGCCTTCCACAGGCTGTTCCAGGAGCGAAGGCCACAGAACATCATCATCAGGTGAGTCAGCCTGTCATTCCATGGCGATTCCAGGACTGGGCCATGTTCCATTCCCCACTCACTGTGTCTGCAGTCGGTCTTTCCAATGAGCACATGTAGTAGCCTCTTGCGGGGTGAAGAGATGGCTTTGGGGCTTTTCTGAGAGGGAGCTTGCAATTCCCTGTAGGAGCCCCATGGGTAGACCTGCCTGAATTTGGTTCACTCCAGATTCTACATTCATTTGCTCATGGTAACACTGTCCCACCCGAATTCCTCACTAACCTTCCCCACTAATGTTTGCCTTATTTTAAGGCAAATAATGTCTCATATTTTGAGGGGGAAAACATCACTCATTTCTTTGAGTTCAACAGCAGCATCCCAAGTCCTTATAAGTAAGACTGGATCTCATCTGATGAAACTTGGAAGTGACATAGTCACTCTGCCCTTCTTTTAAAGCTGTGCAGCATGACTTGGCCTCCATATGGACCAGGGTGACAAGGGAGAAGGTGTCAGCTTTTCTATCCCTGCATTCGTTGACCATAAAGAGCCCAGCTGAAGCTACTAGCACTCACTGGCTGTGTTTCTCTTGTACCACAAAAGTAGCACAGATAGCTGGTAGCCCATATTTTAGTCATCAAAAGTTCAATATCTCTGCAGAGCTTGGGGAATCCTGCAGGAAAGGGAGAAGAAAGAGAGTAAGATCCTGGGAGTGAGGTTTGGGGTGAGGGGTGGGGGTGAGGTGGGGATGGAGGACATCAAGGAAATAAGATCCTCTAAATCAACATCAAGGCTCATAGGATTTCAGAGGGACTGAGCAATACGTATAGGACCTGCATGGCTCTACATCAGATCCTCTACATGTATGTAGTGTTATTGTGGGATTCCTGAGCATTGAATGAGTGGGTCTCTGTTTCTTATACCTTCCCTTGAACTTTTTCTTTCTTTTATGTGTTTGTTTTGCCCAGTCCCAAAGTGTTAGGCGTTTTGTTTTATTTTGTTTTGTTTTTTAATCTTATTTTATTATTGTCCCTTAGAATCCTTTTCTTTTTTAGATGAGAGACAGAAGAGGGGTGGATCTGTATGGAGTGGAGAAGGAGATAAAGAGGAATTGGGGGGAGTAGAGGGAGGGAGAACTGTAACCAGGATATATTACATGGGGAAAAAAATCTATTTTTAATTAAAAGGAAAAAAGCTGAATATCTCTAAAATAGATGGTCTATACATTAGCACCAAATTAGTTTTTTTTTTTTACTTTATTTTAATGTCACATCTTAAAGTTGTAGACTTGTTTTTGTCTCAGTAGCTCACATGCATCAGGGAACATGAGTTGAGAAAAGGGCGGAGGCATTCTTAAGTGGAGAGTTCAATTACTAAAATTTTAACATTTTTTTTCTAGAAAATTCCCTTTTTTTTTAGAATAGTCAATATAATTTATTTTATTTTATTTTATATAACAAAGTCCAATTAAATGAAAACAAACATTTATACACAATATTTGGGAATTTGGGCGTCGTTCTTTCCAAACTACTTCCTGCTGGTAAGGGGCACTGTCTTGGCGGATTCGAAGAAGATTCAGATATCCTAGCTGTAGTCTGTAGGGCTGTTTTGTCCAGCTGTTTGGAATGTAGGATCAGCTTGTACTCTGTTTCAGGCGGTCTGGTGCGATCAAACCACATTAGTCTGGAAGGAATCCACATCTTTTCATTTTCTGTGGAAACAAAAATAGAAATCCTTTTCCCCAGTAACTTGTTCTTCAACTTAAATTTTGGAGTCAAAGCGTTTTTTTTTTTTAATTTATTATTTTTACATGTCGATCCCATTTCCCTCTCTCTCCCTCCCTCCCTCCTTCCCTCCCTTTTGCCCTCTCTGCCCTCTCCCATGCACTCTAAACACCCTCCCCTCCCAACCCCCCACCACAATACCATATGTATGGGAATGCCATCCAATTGGGGTCATGTAGATCTGACAGGTCCTGTGAAGTAGGGACTAGGGCTTCTCTCCTATCTCTAGAATAAGGCAGTTATCCCTCCATGGGGGATATGTTTGCAAAGTCCTTTTGTGCACCAGGGATACATCCTGGCTCCACTGTCTGAGGTTTCTTAGACTGCTCAGACCTTCTGGCTGAGACCCATATTCAGGGGGGTCCGAGTCAGTCCCATGCTGGCTTCCCAGCTATCAGTCTAGTGGCCCTTAGCTCCTCCTTGTTCAGGTAAGCTGTCTCTATGTACTTCTACCGCATGGTCTTGTCCTCTCCATCTGCTTCTGGGTTCTAGTTTGACTCAGTGTTTATGTATGGGTGTTTGCTCCTGTTTTCAACAGGCATTAGTTGAGGACTCCATGGAGAAGTTAGTTGTTGATCTCACTCTCCGGGAAGGGCATTTATGGTAGCCTTTCCACGGAAGCTGAGATTGTTAGTTGGGAGCAGTCTTGTAGTTCCCTCGACCTTTCTTTGTGTTCAACTTTATCTTCAAACCAATATTGGCTCCCTCTTTTATGTTCTCTCTCTCTGTCTCTCTCTCTGTCTCTCTCTCTCTCTCTCTTTCCTATTTTCCATTCCTAACCAGGCTCAATCCTCCTGGTTGCACATGCTTTCCTCTCCTCCCTCTCATTTTCTCCTACTTCTCTCTCCATTAGCTGTCCTCCCCCACTTTACCTGAGGTCTGGGGGACTTGTCCCTTCCCAGTTCTGTGAGGGACTTTATATGAATCTCTTAGAATACAACTTGTATCCTAGTTCCTCTGGTGATGTGGAAAATTCCCTTTAATTAATCAATTAGACAGTGACATTCCCTTTAGCCACTGGAAGACAGGTGTTGGGTGGTCCTCTAGGGATATGACATCCAACGCACAATTGTGAACAAAACAGTGCACATGCTGACTTGGGTCAAACCCATCAGATTGAAGAGTAGAGCTATAGCATTAACTCCCTGAAACTCTGTGTTATGCTCCTACCATCTCTGGGTCTGAGAATTACCTCTGGTTCTTTCTTTTTCTCCATCTTCTAAGACAGTGAATTTGTGTTCCCCTTGTTTTCTCACAGTGGAGAAAGAGGGTCAGGAAAGACACAGGCCAGCAAGCAGATCATGAGGCACCTGACGGGCAGAGCCAGCTCCAGCCGAACCATGTTTGACTCCAGGTTCAAGCATGTAAGTGGCTTCTGGGTTGGTGACTATGTGAGTGTATGGATTGTGCCAAGAACAATGTCACTTGCAAATGCAAGAATGCATCCTCATGGTCAAACCATAGTTAAAATTATAGATTAAAAAAAAAAGAATCTTTGTAATTGCTCACAAAAGCCTGGGCTCATACTTCTGTTGAGGATTGTCTGAGAAGTGATGCTGGGAGCTAACAATAAAGCTTCAGTATTTTAACAATTAGTGACCACAGTAAACATGGATGATTTTCATCTATAGCTATTTATTAAGCTGGAACCCTCTTCAGCAACTTGTCAATCCACTCCACAACTCTGGTCTAGCAGTTGAAGTCAACTTGGGAAACCTAGCAAGCCCATAGTTTTTACTTAAATATGCTAGTATGCCAGCTGTTGATACTCCCAAGTGAGAACATGAATAAATCAACATGGTTATAAGATAAATGCAGGTTAACTAATGGAAATAACAGAATCTATTGACTTAATTGAAATGACAGAGAACAATAGTCTCCCCTCTAAATTACAGGCTAAAATAATCATCTATTAAAATGATTGCTGGTGAGGGAACAGGCGCTGTAATTTCTAAAATGCATTCTGATCACTTTATGTAAATTGATTTTGCTGTTCAGTTTAAGTGACTACTTTCTAATTCCTGTGAGTAACTTAAGTGTCACTCTGTCAGATCTGCGGTTACTGGGGAGTCAGAACCATCAGTTCCGCACAGATTCCAAGACAAATGCCTTCTAATTCATTTGTGTGTTTTTCTCATTCCCCGTGGTATGTTTAAATTCCATATTAACTGTGGGATTCCCCACTTTAAATGTCAGCCATATGAATATCACTGTCTAAGTTCACGAAGCAACAGTGCAGGTTGCTTCTGAAAAAGCGTCCGGGGAACACATGGATTCATGAAAGTGTCAAATGAATTTGTGAACTGACTAGAAATCCACATAATGTCACAGAACAACTGTGCAATGCAGTAGGCTGGAGAGAGGGGCCACTGCACCCTGTGTGAGAGAATGATAGATAGAGCATCCTTGGTGCTCAGAGATATTTATCAGTGAGGTTGAAAGTGAGGGGAAGCTCGCAGATGACTTCAGAAGGGCCAGAGAGCTGTCCTGAGAGAATGCGAGCCTCTCAGTGGAGGACCTCTCACATGCCAACACCCAGAACGCTGCAAAAATCCAGGGTCTAACACAAGACAAACACACCTCCCACTCGGGGAGGATCTGATATCTTAAAGAGACTGTTGTGTGAGAGGAAAGGTCAGTGAAGGTTTTATTCAGTTAGTAGACTGCAAGTGGAAGGAAGCTGTAGAGATGAAAGTGATAGCTTGCTATTGGGCGTCTTCAGTGAGAGTCATGCATAGGGTGATGAAGAAACTGCCTGTAACTGATACCAGTGACAAACAGACTTGTCAAAGCCACATTCAGCTCTGAAGAACAGGGGGCAGTTCTGAGAGGTCTGGGGCCTCTAAGTTCACCGTCCCGGTGCACAGTGTTCCAGGGATCACGCAGAAGCAATGAAGACAAAGGTACAGCTGGGTGTGAAAGGTGCCAGGGCAGGTGGGTGCTGAGGTCCAAAACTGAGCTTGCTGGGGTCTCCAGGTCATACTCTTCTCTTCTGAGGCCACACAGTCTTGCACTGTAACTGTGTCCTGTGAGATGCCTCCCAGGGTGTTTTCTGTGTCCCACTTGCCCAGGGGAAGGTGAAGTCTCATCCCCAGAGATGCTGCTTCCTTCTCCTCAGCCTGGGAACAACTAAATCCCACCAACAACATTTTGTTTCTAACCCTGTATCTGAATCATGAAGATCAGAAGCAGGGCTTCTCTGTGTCGTTGGATTGTTTCTTGGAACAGAAAAGCCATGTCTTTGAGAGAAATTGTGTGGGACTTCTCACCTATTCCATCTCAAATGAGTTTTAGGTTCATTCAGTCCTGTTGCAATCATTTAAATATGCCTTACTGAAAAGTACCTTTTCAGAGGCTCAGTTTGATTGATGGGTGTGAAGATATTCATTAAGGAACTCACCGACCCTTATTTCTAGGAAATTCAATGTAATTAGCTACTTTTGTAGCACATGTCTCTTTAACTATTGAAATTTATAGCACAGTGTAAGTGGGAAAAATCAGGCCATTGCAATTTAATCAATAAATATCGAGGATGCAAGTAGGAGCTTCTTTCCTGTGTATTTGGGAGACAGCCAGATAACAGCAGTTAAGGGTTTCCTCTGCATTCCTCTACATGCAGTGATTTGGTGCCACCTATTGGCTGACTAGCTAATAAAGAGGGAACACAGCTGTCTGTTTCCAGCTTGGCATTCCCATCTGGAAGTATATAGCAGTGTGTGCATTGAAAATGCCAGTTAAGACTTTACAGTTCTCCCATTCTTAGATGGTTTCATCTTTATATTAATGCCGCACCTCACATATCTTTATTGCTGATCCAATACTAGTTGGATGAAGTTAACAGTATTAATAATTGGGATTAATTGGGATTAATAATTGTGTGACTCTGCAGCCAGATGCTTGGGTTCAAATCCCAGCTGGGACATTTGGAGTCTATGATCCTGGCAGCTGGTGATTCTGCTTCATTGATAGTTAGGTGGAGACTTTGATAATGAAGGTTGAAAACCATCGCATGTACATACATGTATACATGTGTATGTATTTACACATGTACCTGGTGTTAGAATGCGAGTGGTCTACAGCTACTAAGGGAAATAAAATCATTAGTTGTTGTGTGTCTGCTCTATGGCAGGTATGAAGCTGAGTGCCTTATACACACAACACTGCAAAGCTCTGAGGAGAAGTAATTTCTGTGTTGGAGGAGAATGGGGTTGGGGGTTGAAGGACCTTTGACCTTAGACCTGAGATGGGGAGGGACCTACTCAAAGCATGTACATGTCTACAATTCCTGTCTTGGAACACATTCTCCATTACCTGTGATACTCTTTCTTGTAGAATAATGTAATAATTACTTTATTGTCAAATACAACACAGAAATGCACCAAAGCTTAAATATTTTTAAACTCAACCTTTTGCAACTTTTTTGAATAATTATTTTATAGTACATTTGTGCAGTGAGAAGGAATTACAGTAACAATTTTGACATATGCATAGTTATCTATTCAATGTAAATTTTAAAGAAAAATGAGAGTCTACTGATCATCAATTATTTGGGGTGGTTCTGCCCTTAATCTACTTTGTGTTATATTAATTTTCAGGCCCAAACCATAGGATCTTGTAAAGATTCAATGTGTCTTCAGAAATCCAAGCTTCAAAACCAGATGGTTAAACACATTCATTATCATGTTTAGCATTTTTGATTTGTAATTGGGATCAAAGCTTTGCTTTATAATAGTTAATCATGCAGAATGTGTCACAAATTAGTTTGCGCCTGAATATATCAAATGCCAAAAAGACTTAAAAAATGAACTCAAAACATTTGTTAAAAATTTGTGTTAATGATCTCAGAAATAATGTCATAAACAAAGGGTCTAAGATGAGGACTCCGTGAATGGTAAAACAGCACCAGCCCCCTCCCCCCTGTATTGTGTGTGTGTGTGTGTGTGTGTGTGTGTGTGTGTGTGTGTGTGTGTGTGTGTGTGCACGTGCATGTGTACATACTGGCCTCCAGAGAGCCTTCCAGATCACAAAATGTTCCAGCATCTTTGTGAGTAGTCCAATCAAGTTCTCTCTTGTGCTGCAGGCCATGTGCATCTTGGAAGCCTTTGGACATGCCAAAACCACACTCAACAATGTATCCAGCTGCCTCATACAATATTGGGAACTGCAGTTCTGTGAGAGGAGAAAACATGTAACTGGAGGTAAGTTTGCACTTAGCCAGCAGGCGTCTCTGTGCCCAGAGAGATGGCTCATGGGAATAGATGTGGTGCCCTCATGTGCATTCCTACATCTGATTCCTCAGGGAAGAAAATTTAAGCAAGTGCAATGAAATCTAGGCTACATGTGTAAGTTAGCTGACTTTTTGACTGTGTGTGTGACTTGGTTGACACTGGGCTCTGTGTGTGACTTGGTTCACTCTCTGGGCTGTGTGTGTGACATGGTTGACACTGGGCTCTGTGTGTGACTTGGTTCACTCTCTGGGCTGTGTGTGTGACATGGTTGACACTGGGCTCTGTGTGTGACTTGGCCCCTGGGGGGTGTGTGTGTGGGATAGTGACACTGGGCTCTGTGTATGACTTGGTTCACTCTCTGGGCTGTGTGTGTGACTTGGTTGCCTCCTCTCTTGGGAAAGTATCCTGCAGAAATCCACCTCTCTTCACTTCCATACTGCTTTCTCATTCTGTTCTAAATTAACAGCCCTCAGATATCATCATTTACACTTGTAGTTCTGAAAGCTTCCAGCTTTGTTATTTTTTTTTTAATCTAGTCGAATGCTTTGGTGGTTATTTTTCTAGGACTTTAAAATTGAGACAAATAAAGCTAACTAACTGGAAACAAAACAGAAAGAGTCGGTGCTGCTCTAAAATTGCATTTCCAGGTGCATGGAGACATTACCCTGGTCCTAGGGAGCCTGAGTGCTCTGAAGAGTTACACCTCTGAGCTCGCCTCTGCTGTTTGTAAGAAGGAAATGGATGATTGTACTGAAAGGGCTTAGCATGAAAGTCAAGCTTCGGTGCTTTGTTTTTGGAGAGTGGGCAGAGTGACTGTGCTGACACTGGGCAGAAGTGACTTAAGGGGAAGCACTGTGAAGACTCACTTTGCTGTATGGACAGGGGTTTGAGGACAAAGGATGTTGTGTAGTGTAAATATCTGGTCCCTATTAGTAACAGGAACATCATAGAGGCTTATGGGTGCTGAGAGCTTTCTCACCATGTCAGTGAGATGTGGTGAAGGAGTGGACAACAGAGCATTAATAGCAGTTGTGCAGTCAAGACACTAAGGCCAGATTGCTGTGAAGACACTTCTTGGTGCTGAGAAGACCTTAAGTCTGAAGATGAGACCTCTGCTTATTGCTTGTCTGGTGTTCTGAGTTCAGTAAAGGACCTGGCAGCTTTATCTTGTTTCCCAGTTTATGTTAGTATAGATAAAAGAAGTGGGCATACAGCCTGAGATAGTTTCAGAATGTGGTATATGAGAGCTGCTGTAACAAACTGTTGTGTGTGACTTCTGAAGAGATTCCATGCACGCGCACACACACACACACACACACACACACACACACACACACACACACACAGAGTCTACTCACCCCAGAAAGAGAATCCACAATTTTTACTGGGGTCAGTAACAGGGCTTTGGATGAGTGGCTCCTTACAAGGAGCAGGAATGACTCAAAGGCAGCTAGGTCACCTGAAAGCTAGTCCTTACACGAGTGACAGCTCACACAGCTGCAACCCTGAAGTTTTGCACAACTTGCAGGCAAGGCAACTCCACTGCTCTGAAAATCCCCTCTCTGTACCCCCCTGTCAGTATCCCCTCTATCAATTGTTTGCTGTTTCTTTTCATCTCGGGAGGGGATCTTGGGTATCTTAAATTTTGGCCTTCTACGACAGGTGACATTTGTTTACTGCCTGGGCCCCTTCTGGAAGGAAGGTTTCAGTTCTAATGAAACTGTCATATATCCCAAATACTTGATTGGCAGTGTGACATTTTCTAGGAATGGACTGACTGACCTTCTGAACTCTCAAAGTCTGGATGTGGGTATCTGCAGACCTGTGTTCTTGCCATCTCTGGGGTAGAACCTACTGGTCTACCCGACTTCTGAACTCATCCCTTCTGTTCTGTTTTGGACACATACACCTATCACCCAGCTTTGCTTCCACTGACATGTAACATGGTCAGGTGTCTTCTCACCACACCCCTCCCTCCACTGACACATGCCATTGTCAGGCATCGTCTCATCACATCAGCACCCAGCCTACTTCAGTCAGACCTCAGAGCAACATGAGAGTCTCTGTATAGATGCTGTTTCTAAGTGGAGCCCCACACACAGCTCTTGAGGGGAGGGTTTTGGAGAATCTTTTGTGGGAGACAATTCAGCCTCCTGCAGGGAATGAAGAAAGGCTTTCACTGTCCAAAATAGTTTTCAGTTGAAGAACAAATACCTCCACTACTGAGGAAAATTAATATTGGATGCTTTACAGAGCCATACAGAGACACCCCAGCCTAGCATGGGCCCTGATTTCCTTTCAGCTGTGGACAGGTCCTCTTCTGTATTGTGGTGACAATCATCATTGCAAACTCTTAGTGTTTCAGGCCATAGACACACCAACACAGTGCTCTTTTCTTTCATCTTCATGCCAATATGAATACTACCCCTTCCCCAGATGCAGATACTGGGTTGCTGCTAAATGATATAGGACCCAGCATCCCAACATAGAATGGGAAAGTATTTTGGCTCTCTACATTTTTGATGGACTGAAAAACATCAGATCAGCTTCAGTTGAAACCACAGTCCACTCACAGTGGGAAAGTCCTCTAGTGGATGTCCCATGGTTGTCTGGCCTTCTTGGGTAATGTAGACATTCAGAGTTTAAAAAAGAGAGAGAGAGAGAACACATGTGAGCAGCTGCTCCCAGAACTTTGCTTTCAAATCCTGATTTTTTTTAATGAATGAGAAAGGTGTTAAGAGATGAAACATCATTATCATCATCATCATCATCATCATCATCATCATCATCATATCACCAGCTTCCTTAGCATTGCAACCCTCATTGGACATGCTTTCAATAGAGTGCTATCATCAATCCTATCTCATGTCAAGAGCTGTAAGCAGTCTGGGCTTTGTAGATAAGGAAGAAGGGCGTAAAGTACAAAGGCTGCAACATCACTTTGAAGAGGCCAAGTACAAAAGGTTCCTTGTGTCTGAAATGCAGTAGATATATTTAGTGGCACCTTCTGGGACTCCAGAAGGACCCTGAAACATTCTGTTTTTCCCCCCCTCATATTACAGATAGACAAAATTACAGTTTAAAGGGGTGTGCAAAGTGACCATGCCAGGTTCAGAAGCAGAATTCCTGGGATTGCATCACAGACAGCTCCTCCTCTTAAATCCCTATGAAAGATGGCTCATGGGTAGATGGTCCCTCACCCCAGCATGAGCTTGCTTGGGTGGTGAACTAAGAAGAAGGCATGTGCGAAAGGCTGTCTTCTCTCTGTGCCCATAGTCTGCTATAAGTGTCTGCTCAAGGTGGGAGGTGATGAGGCTCTGAAGGCAATTTGTCCTAACTTTTAGCCTGAAGGAGAGTAAGTCACTCCTTCTACTTCCTTTAGTAATGAACAAATGGCCTGGCTCTGTGAAACACTGCAGTCACCTGTGGAATTGGGTACAAGCAAACAGCATGCATTCCTGGATTCAAACTTCTTGAGAAATATATTCATATGTAGATGGCCAGAGAGCTGTGGAGAGTGACGCCTGCATTTCTGATCAAGGATGTTTCTAACTTAAAAACTGTTTGGAAGCACACGAGTGTTGAGATTGGACTGTCTACTGAAAGGAGCTCTTTCAAATGGGCCTGGCTGCAGAAATTACTGGAACCTCTCCAACCCAAGCCCCACACCTCCCTAACCTCAGAGAGCTGTACACAAGATATGGCAGCATCTTCTCTGTCTGGGATTGTGTCAGCCTGTGCTTGAGTTTGCTTGTAGATGTTCCTTCAAAGTGCTGGTTAAACCCAAGCAATTTTATTCACAACTGGAGATGTGCTAACTAGCGTGATTAATAATTACTCTACTTAGGAATTTAGATGAAGGGTTTTCAGTCACTCGTGACTTGGCGTTTGATCAGTACCGAACACTGCTTCAGTTGAAGCTGGTGTCCTTGCCAGGAGAAGTGTGTGTGCATCAGCCGGGGTCCAAGGTCAGGGGCACCCAGACCTCTCAGCCTCCCTTCACTTCTCACCTGCCACCTGACACAGAAAGCAGTGAGCAGGACCTGTGAGGAGAGCTACTGTAACAACTTATTTCAGACTTTTAAAGCAGAAAATTGGCCAGATATTTTTGTTGAAAAAGAAAAATGAATGAAAACTATAAGATTTCTACATCAAATTTCTCCCTGATTAAATAGCCATGAATATGTGCATGCATGACCACACACACACACTTATAATATACACACACTCACACATACAACACACACACATTCACACACATACACACTCACACATACACACTCACACATATACACATACTCACACATATACAAACACTCACACATACAATACTCACACATATGCACACATACACACATGCAAACACACACATACACATTCACACTCACTCACACATACACACACATGCAAAAACATACACACACACACACACACACACCACTGCATACTGAGGGTATGGTGGCTATTCTTGGTTGTCAACTTGACCAAGTCTGGAATTAACTAAAACCCAAGTGGCTGTGTATATTTGTGAGGAATTTTTCTTGAGTAAATCATGTGAGGTGGGAAGTTCAGCCTTTAATCTGGGTCACACCTTCTGCTGGCAGCCACAAAAGGAGTAATCTCACGTTCTGCCTGCTTGCTCTTGCTAGCAAGTCCATCCCCTCACTGTGTTACAGCCTACTTCTTTGAGATTCTGGTGTATACTGAAGACCAGCTGAGACAGGCCTTGTTTGGTTGATATCCCTGTTGCACTGAACAACTACTGGATTTCTGGACCTTCCATTGGTAGACAGCCACTGTTGGGCTAGCAGGACCACGCCTATAAAGCCTTTCTAATAAATGTGTGTGCCTCTGTGTGTGCGTGCGTGTGTGATAGCACAAGGGTGGATCCTTCAGCCTGTGACAGGTTTCTCTAAAAGGACAGGACTGTTGGACAGAGAGTAACCCCTCATATAAAATATGAACTTCACTGATAGCATGGGCCAATAGTGGCTCCTCAAATTTAACCATATCCATGTCACATGAGCTTTTGACCATATTGACTGTGGCAGCAGGAGCTGTGGACTCTGAACTCTTGGTACCTTTGGTGTAGCATCTCTGCAGACCTAAGCTACTATAGAAAGTGAAGTCTCTTTGCATTTGTTTCAATGTGTTGGAAAAGAAGCCTTGTTGCAGGGCTTGTAATTAATTAACATGTAAATTTATGGAAATTGAACTAAAATGCCATTTAACAGAGCCCCTTCTCTTTTCCTAACCAGCCAAAATTTCCACTTATATGCTGGAGAAGTCCAGGCTTGTGGCGCAGCCTCCTGGCCAGGGCAGCTTTCTGATTTTCTCCTGGTTGATGGATGGGTTATCCACTGAAGAAAAATGCGGACTTCACCTTAGTAACGTCTGTGCACACCGGTGAGTGGTCAAAGATTTCCCAAGGTTTTCCAGGAAATCCTGAACACATTCTCAGCTTTAAATTGTCTTCATATTTTTCAGAGGTGGAAATGGTGGCTAAGGGAAGACAGCTGGCTACTGTTAGGGCAGAGCTGTCTGGGTAGCAGGGGTCTAATGATGTGTTGGGTGGTGGGGCTTTTCCTTCGTTGCCGTGAACTTTTATTTCTGTTTTGCTGCTTCTCAGAAGGGAAGACAAAAGCCTAGCATATTTGCAAACACTCCAATGCCTATGGCTGTTTTGTCCACACTGTCTAGTCTGTCATCTTCTGACGTGTTGGTGTGAACAATGGTGTGAATAGCCAGCATTCATTTGTAGCAGATGAGATTACATAATGAAGAGAAGAATTGCACCTCTACATTAAGGACCAATGTGAAGAACCGCAAAGCTTTTGTTACAATGGAGCCATTGGGTGACTATGATGGACATGTGAGGGCACAAAGATGGGCAGCTGAGGAACACTGCTCCGTACATGCCTTCTTGCCAGCTGACAGCCTGAGCCACACATAGCACTGGGCCAGATTAGTGTTTGGATAAGAATTAGAAGTTATAAGGTGTTACAGAATTTCCTGCCTGCTTCCACAGCCACCTTCAGCCCCAAATAAACACATGGGTGCTATAATAGTTATTAAACTGTTGGCCAGTAGCTGGGGCTTCTTATTGGCTAGCTCTGCCTTAATTATTTCCATTAATCTAAGTATTTCCATTAATTTCCATTAATCTAAGTATTTCCACATGGTTTTATCATACCAGAGAGAGGTTCCAGTGCATCCTACCTTTCTGGTTCATATGGTGTCTGCTGTCTTCCTATCTTCCCCAGAATTCTCCTCATCTTCTAGTCCCACCTATCTCCCTGCCTCTATTGGCCACAGTGTTTTATTCATCAACCAATAAGAGAAACATATACGCAGAAAGACAACCCCCCATCAATAAAGGATGAATGCTACCATGAACAGATGCTGGTGGGATTCAGGATCTACAGCTCATTTTTGTTACGATCAGATACCACACATTTTGGAGCTTGGTCAGTATCCAATCAGATCTAGAGTCGAATCACTAACTTTGTAAATGTGGATAAACCAGACCTTTCTTGTTTGGAAGCATCCAGTATGAGTCCACTCCTTAGGACTGGTGTTTATCGGCAAAGGAAGAGCCTGCTGGTGAACTAACGGGACCCTGAATGACAAGAAGAGTTACTATGTGTTTACTGCAGGATGTGTCTGCCTACCTGTATTCTTTAGAAATATGCTGACCTGTCTTACACAGAACAAACCACATCTGAATACTCTCTCTCTCTCTCACACACACACACACACACACAACACACAACACACACAACACACTTTCTCTCTCTCTCACACACACACAGAGAGAAAGGGAGAGAGAAAGAGAGAGAGAGAGAGAGCAGCCAGGTGAGGTGCTAATGAAATACGTTGAGTCTTAAAATAACCACTACAGACCATCCTGCACAGCCTGCATCCTGCACCTGCCCTGTCTGTTCCTCACACAGTACAGCTCATTACCTACATGAAGCAGTAAAATGTGTGTGCAGCAGTCCAGGGCCTGCATGTTCCTTGCCCTTAGCATGCCTTCCAGGATTACTCCAAAGGGCAGTGTCTCTGACTATGGTCTTAGACTCTTGTAGATTCATCTTTAACTTCAGCTTATGCCGTGAAGTTTTCTAAGCCTCACACAAATATGTTTAAACCCTGTATCAGTATTGAAACCCCCACCCCTACACACACATCTCTGCTTGAAACATGGGAAAGCTCCCAAGAACACCTCACACTGCCTGAATGCAGAGCTCACTTGGGACAGGGAGGGGTAGGCACCCATCCCTCAATGCATCAGAGCCGTCCTTATTTGGACATGGAAGGGTTTTATATTCCTTGGATGTTTGGATTTGGGTCAGGGTCTAATCCTGGCTCATTATTTGTGCATTTGGTGCTTGGTCAGTATCCAATCAGATCTGTTGTCTCTAGCTTGCTGGCTTGAGGGACTGTGGTTAGAAAGAATACAAGCACCCAGGAATCCCACAAGAGGGCGTACTTTCCACAGCTCAGAAAGAGACAAACCAAAGGCAAACAAAATCTTCTTCTTTTTTTTTTTTTTTTTTGTTTAGTTTCTTCTGTGTTTTTTCCCCCTTTGCCCTCATTTCTAATCTAAGTAGTATTTCTTTTTTTTTCTTTTTGTGCATAAGATGTTATATCTGAGAGATAACTATAAGTCATATCCCTGCAGGTTGAGATTTAATGAAAGCAGTAATGTGCAGTAATTGCTTGTCTTCAACTTACTTTAAATTATCTCTGTGGGCTTAGCCCCAGATCTCCCTCCCCAATGACTGATCACAGGGAGGATTGTGGGATGCTTCCTAATACTCCTCAGCAGAGGCCAGGCTTTGAGCTGTGCTGAGGAAAGTCATTTGACTGAGAACAGGTGCCCGGGTCCTCACCTCAGCAAGAGAGCTGAGTCACTGTGGTTTGAACTTGTGATGGCTGCAAACACCTGTCACAGGAGAGCTGAGCAATTAACTCCCAGGAGAGTGTGTTCTCTGCTGACTGGTTATCAGGGGGGCTGAGCTGAATCCAAAGAGGCTTTTCACAGGTAAAGAAATACTTCAGTGTCATTTAAAGGTGATTCTCCATGATTTTGTGGCATATGAACTTTTGCCCCGTCACATATTTTAGGCAAGGGAAAGCTGATGGTCTGTGAGGCCTGTGCAAGAACACGGTACCATTTCCATTGTGAGTTGCATTCTCTAGCTTTTTACTTAGATATTGTTTTGGAGGTTGTATCACAAGGCTTTGTGAGTCGCTCTACCTGCAGTGTCAATAAGCAACTATCTGTGGGAATTTTGAACAAGTGTATTTGCATGTGTCATGTGAATGTGTCTTAAAAGTGAGATTTCTGCATAACCCTTGAAAGGATGAGCTCGTTATATGTGGCGGTGCCTCTTGCTTTTGGCTCTGCTGTTGATAGTGGATGTTCGTGAGATAACATGGAGGGCTTCCCACAGGTAGCTGTTCACTCTCAGTGATGGTGAAAATCACCCTTGATGTCACCATGGTGTGGATGAGCTGACGGAGAGCTGCGGTGACTGAGCCATGCAGCCAGCAAGGCAAAGCTGATGTGGGCATGCCTCCTCAGTTACTTTGTCAAAGTCTGCTGCACTATTCCAGTTGGTGATACTCCACATCTCTCAGACTATATGCTCAACCATGGAGAGGGAATCAACCTCTTGACTCTTCTTGCTCAACAACATTTTTGTCAGCAGCAAACGCTGTTCAAATAGAAAACTGGAGAGGGGGACAACAGGATCACACAAAGGGACTAGGCACATGTCTTTTAGCATAAAAAAAGGGACTTCTGGTGAGATTTCCAGAAACAAATCATGTTTAAACAGAACTGGAGAAATGTCACATGTACTTGGGACCTAAACATGCATTCTTATGATTTTATCATTCTTGTTTGAAGCACTTTCATATAAAAAGTAGAGTGAACTTGTGGGTTTAAGTAAAACAGAACCAATGAATCTTAGAGGGGAAAGTGTTGAGAAATTAGAGAAGAATCTATATGGTTTGATCTAAAACACACACACACACACACACACACACACACACACACACTCTATGCATGGCCACAAAATCCAGGCAGGCGTCATGGCTCTGAGGGAGAGGATTGTTGACCTATCCTCCAGGACCCTCCAGTCACTGACTCAGTTTTACTGAAGTTGATCATTTATTAAGTGAAAAAGCTAAGCCCACTGAATCCTATTATGTGTGTTTATTTCAGTAATGGAAAGAGAAAGTCATTCTTGGATCAGAACATGGCTCAACACTAATCTTGCTTACCAGTCTGTGGTAAGCACTATATGGGGCTTGTCATGCATCAGCTGTGCTTTTCGGGTACATGGGGAGTCTGTCTTTAACTCCTTACTCATTATCCCCAAATCCAAAACTTTCTGAAAACCAAACATTTACTTATGACTTAGGTGGTGGTGAAAACCAAGCCAGGCCCAAATTTGCTGATCAGCACCCTCTAAACTCACATGAGACCTGTGAGGTTGAAAACTTTGTGTGTCTGTTTGGGAACAATTCTGCAATTTTACTCAGGATTAAACCCTTTGATTAGAAGAGGTTGCCCCAAATCTATCAAGAATGAAAACACTACTTTAACTTTGTAAAATGTGGATTACAAAATGAGCTGTGCCTTAGCAGTAAAGGAGAGGGTTGCTGTAGCATAGCCGATTGGATCCAAACCAGGGTAGGGACTGGCTTTCTCACTGTGTTCAAGATGCCTGTCACACTCAGGGCCACAGTGGGGACCTGGCAGGTGGAGCTAAGCAGATGCAATTAACCTCTGAATGAAGGCTCCTGCTTCCTCCTGTCCTCATCTCTCAATGTCTGATATCTCCTTACACACTCACTTTCTCAAGGTACTTATCTATTTCATTGTCTGAAAAGTATGGGATACTAGATGGGCACAGGTAGAGTGGGTATTCAGTTTGCTCTGCTAGTCATTGTGACTGGATAGGTAGGTGGGGATCTGGCTTTGGGCAATTAGAAGGGCAAGGATATGGCTGCTGGTTTGCCCCACTGAGATTTCACAGGATCATGTCCACAGCTTGTGTGTGTGTGTGTGTGTGTGTGTGTGTTCGTGTACACATGCACACATGTGTATATTTTTATGTATGACTGTATATATATGAGGGGATATATATATATATACATATATATGTGTGTTTATGTGTGTGTATACATACATATATATGTGTGTGTGTGTGTGTATATATATATATATATATATATAATTATGTGTGGCTGAATATATGTGAGGGTTTATATGTATATTATGTGTGCCTACGTGTGAATGTATGTTTGTGCATATATGTGTTTTATGTATATGTAGGTATATCTACACATTTACGTGCATGGGTGTGCATGTATGCTTGTGTGAGACATAG